ATATATATATATGTTTACTTATTTATATATACCTAAGCATTTCAGTATATTGTGGTTATAATGTAATCAAAAATCTTGGACATCGAACTCACAATAACCTTTATCTTCATTGTTAAAAGAAATTCCAATAAATTCCCAATATATCAACACATCCTGAGTCAATACACGATAAGAAGTCAATATTAAATTGCCAGTAGCCAACTCGTATTCAACGTAGCCACACCGACATTTAATGATGCTGAAAGAACTAGTTTATCTGTTACTGGTCGCGTTCGTACGTGAAAAAACCTGCGCCAGAATCCTGGCAGTGGTGCCGGTACCATCGTACAGCCACCAACTGTTCTTCAGGCCCCTTTGGAAGGGACTGAACGCAAGAGGCCACGAACTGACTCTTATGACGACGGACCCCATGCCCGAAGCTCCGAATAACATCAAGCAAATCGACTGGAGTTTCGCGTACGACCTGAGACACAACAAACATAACATCACCAAGGTGGTGCAGGACAACGAATACAACCTCCCGAAAATCCTCGCCTCGTACCAGGCCATGATGAACGAAATAGTCGACGAGGAACTGGCTCGGCCAGAGGTGCAGGCGTTGCTGAATGACGAAAACGAACGGTTTGATTTGTTGATGGTGGAATATTTTCATCCGGTGATGTTCGCGTTCTCGGAAAGATTCAAGTGCCCCTACATAGCCCTCGCTTCGATGGAAATTGCCAATTTTTATCACAAGGCCTTGGGAAACCCCATACATCCCGTGCTTTACCCGGAGATACTGTTGCCCTTCGAAAGAGACTTAAAGTTCAGCGAGAGGCTGTTGAGCACCCTGTACGTGATCTGGGGTATCGTTCACAAGAAATATACCTACGGGAGTAGCGTTGAGGAGCTAATGGCCAAGAAATATTTCGGGGAGGACCTGCCCTCTCTGCAAAGGATTACTAGAAACGTCAGTATGGTGTTTGTTAACACCCACCCAGTCTTCAATGTTAGGCCGTTGGGGCCCGGTTTCGTCCGAATTGGCGGGGGAATGCACCTGGAGGAGCCGAAGCCATTGCCCGAGGTAAATAATTCGAATATAAACTGTTTTTATCTATTGGTAGGTCAGTAAATAAAACTAGACTAGGCGGTATCTGTTTTGGTGTGGGTGAATCGTATATCCACGGAGATTTTTGGCCTTTTGGCTTTCAAATATCAGTAGAAATGAAAATATTTCTGTGCACATAAAAAAAATGTGGGCTTAACTTTTGGCGGCACAATTTATGTTAAAAAAATTCGAAAAATGTCATATTTTTCTTCCTATTTAATTATGTATCTTTTCAAGAGTTCATTTTAGGCGAAAATGGAAGAGGAAAAAATATTTGTAATTAAATTTTTTACAAAATATGAACAGTTACAAATCGAATGAATCATGGTTATTATAGTAAAAATCGAAATAATCGCCAAAATTGAGAGTTAAAAACATTACTTCTTCGGGAATTTTGTTGGGGTCTTTAAATTGGGTATAGGACCTTCATACTTGGCTCAAGAAAACTTCATGTTATGTAGAATCATCACACCAAATTTCATCAAAATCGGTTCTATAGATTTTGCATAATAATTTTGCGATCCAGATTTTGAAAAAAAAATTGCAAATTTTCAAAATTTTGCACAGCAAAAACCAAGGCCCTTAGATGCTTGAAAATTTAATCACATATAGAAAGGCTCTCAAGCTTTCAAACGCTTTTTGAAAAATTCGAATCCGTCAATTAGGAGAGCTTTGGCGCTTGTTTAAACATCGGTCGAATTTTTGTACTTATTAACAATTAGAATAACTTTGTGAGTATTCAACCAAATCAAATTTTTTAAAGCAGGTTTTAAAAGTTATTGGAAACACGCTTCTTTAAAAAAAAAACAGATCGATTGGTCAATTAGTTACGTAGTTATAGTCGATCAAAATTAACCGTCATTTACACCAAATGTACTGGGACGTCCGGGCAAATTTTTCGAAAAATGCCTTTGGTATTCCGAACACTTACCAGGTCTAAGATTGCAATACTTTTCTTCATTGGCAACCTACTTTAAAACATGTTTAAAGTTATTTATGCAAGCGAGAAATATAAGAAAATCGTACGGGTGGTGGTGGTGGGGGAAGCAGAGAGCGCGGCCGCTTCGGCCTGCTCGAAATTGAATCGACGAGTTCAAAACAGCGACGCGCTTAAAAATTTTTAATATCTCAGCTTCTAGAGGTCCGATTTTGATGATTTTTTTTAAATCGATGTCTCGCGAGCTAAAAAAAACAATTAGCGTATTTTAAAATGCCTATCGTTAATAATTATTGGTATTTCAATAGTCCGATAATTATTTATCTTAAACTTTATTTTTTTATTGTATCAAAGGTAAGTGCATAAAAACAAATTTTTTAAATATTCTAAAATTGTTTAAACAATTATTTTCAAAACGTGGAAAATTAGTCATATAATGAGTTAATTTCTCATTTGCTTATATTTGAAACAATAAATACTATTTGAATTATACTTTAATCACAAAAGAAATGATGATTAAATTAATAGATAAATTATAAAAAATCAATAATATTTTATTCATACTTAATTGCATTAATAAATCAGGATTTAAAAAATGTACACAAATTTTGTTGTAAATTTATGAATGTATAATATATTTATTTATATTAATTATTATGCAAAATCTATAGAACCGATTTTGATGAAATTTGGCGTGATGATTCTACATAACATGAAGTTTTCTTGAGGCAAGTACGAAGGTCCTATACCCAATTTAAAGACCCCAAAAAAATTCCCTAAGAAGTAATATTTTTTAACCCCATTTTTGGCGATTTTTTTGGTTTTTTACAATAGTAATCATGATTCATTCGATTTGTAGTCATTTCTAGTGATATTTGAAAGCCAAAAAGCCAAAAATCTCCGTGGATATACGATTCAATCGAAAAAAAAATTGTGTCGATTTACATCTCCAGGAGCTGAAGATGTTTTTGGATCGAGCTGGAGAAGGTGTCATCTACTTTAGCCTAGGGACGAATGTACGAAGCCACCACTTATCAAAAGGGTTGATACAAGCTTTCGTGGACACTTTTAGGGAATTGCCTTATAAAGTACTGTGGAAATTTGAAAGAGACGTACCCGAAAAATCAAGTAATGTAAAGATTGTTAGGTGGCTACCTCAACAGGATGTACTACGTAAGTTCTTACTGTAAATTTTTACCTCCACCATATTCCGTCTGGTTCGTCTTCAGGTCATAAAAATGTGATATTGTTCATGACCCAATGTGGCTCTCAATCGATGGAGGAGGCGATTTTTAGCCATGTTCCGATGGTGGCTATTCCTTTCGTGAGTGACCAGAAAATGAACGCCCAGAAAATTGTCGGCAGTGGGTTAGGACTGTTCATCAACAAGAACACCCTCACGAGGGAGGTCCTTATGAAGGCGATTTTGGAAATCACGCAGAATTCCAGGTAGTACTTTCTTCTGCCCTATCACTCATGCTTCGAATTCGCCAATTATAAAAAAAAAATATGATTTTTTTTTTTTATTGAAAAGAACCTTAGTATACCTATAGGATAAAATTAGATATTGTCAGGAATATTGCAAGAACCACTTCATTTCTAAGTTATAGCCTTGTAGGCTATTGAATAGAGGATTTTAAAAGGAACTACGACGTTCAAGATGAGTGGAAATTGGAAAGAGGGGTGAAAATGCACCCCTTTCAATTTTTAATTGTAGCCCGAAAACGAAGCAAAATTTCGGTATAGTTCATAGGGAAAGTTATTTAGAGAATTGAATTTCCCATGGAAATAACTTATTTAAAAAATTTAAAAAGAAAATTTTATGCAAAAAATCGTTAAACAATTTTAAAGAAAGCAAAAAATAAGATTCTTTTTATTTTTTTAATAAAATTATTTAGTAAAAACTTGAGAATTTAAGTACAATAAAGTTTATTAATAATGTATAAGTATACAGTGTGTTCACGGATGGAGTTGACAAAAGGAGAAACTCTTTTGTTTTTGACGAAAAATGTCACTCTTTATAAAAAGTTCTGCCCCTCGAAAAAATGAGACTGTCATATAAACATCTTAGATTAGATATACAGGGTGCTCATAAATTAAAAGAACACGAAAATACTCAAGAGAGAAGTATCATTATTTATTATTTTACACAACATTTTTATACAACAAATCTGTTTATAACCTCAAATAATGTCCTAATACAAATTTTAAAATCAAAATTTCAATTTTTGAGATAGGAAGTAGCTATACGTATAGAGTAAAAGTCAGAATTGAAATTTTTATTTTAAAATTTGTATTAGGACATTATTTGAGGTTATAAACGGATTTGTTTTATAAAAATCTTGTGTAAAATAATAAATAATGGTACTTCTCTCTTGAGTATTTTCGTGTTCTTTTAATTTATGAGCACCCTGTATATCTGATCTAAGATGTTTGTATGACAGTGTCATTTTTTCGGAGGCAGAACTTTTTATAAAGCGCGACATTTTTCGTCAAAAACAAAAGAGTTTCTCCTCTTGTCAACTCCATCCGTGAACACACTGTATATACTTTATTAATAAACTTTATTGTACTTAAATTCCCAAGTTTTTACTAAATTTTACTGAAAAATAAAAAATATATTTTTTGCTTTCTTTTCATTTACTGGGCTATATCAGTTCCCGCAAAAATATACGGTTTTTTTTCTCTTAAATAAACAGATTTTTTTAAATACCTCTGTAAATCGTCGTTCAACTGTTTTTCTGCTCTCTCTCTCTCGTCTGTTTTTATAATTATTAATACAGTTCGAAATTTACCAACCCAACTCATTGGGTGTATATTTTCAGCTATAAAAACAATGTAAGGCAAGTGGCGGACCTCATGCAGGACCAACCGATGTCCGGATTAGAGAAGGCGATATGGTGGACGGAATACGTCATCAGACACAGGGGGGTGAAACATTTTTGGCACCCTAACCTGGACCTACCGACGTATCAGTTTCTGCTGTTGGACGTTATAGGTTTCTTGGTGCTACTACACATCCTGACTATTTTTGTGGCGTATAAAATCGTTAAAAACGTATCAGTTTTACTTCTGCGAGGAGCAAATTCAAATAAAGTAAAAACTAACTGAAGCTCCCTCCCCTCTTTGTCTTTCCCGATACGTCGCGTGATCGTCCTTCTTTATATTCTAATAAACAACTTGTATACTTTTAAAGGGTATCAGGTCTCGTTTGCGGGATATCCGAAACGCGCTTTCTATCGTCAATATATGAAACGGTTTGTAAGGAATTTTCGTCCCGAGCCAGAGGATCGCGCTGCGGTGTCTTCGTGCGGTTGAAAATCTCGTAGACACGCAAAGCACTGCCAAGCACCGATTATCGAAATATCCGGAAAGCGCGAGCTTCTTTTTTTATTATTCGCTGCTTCTTATCGTTCGCTGTACGATTTTAAACAAGGAAAATATGGGCCAGTTGACTGATATAAAAAAGAGTCGAAATGATGTGCGGGAGTTTTGGAGATGCCCATTTCCTGTTTGTCGGAGCTCCAATATTGGGATCCAGCTAACTCGATTTTAAATTGATTAATTTCTTACATTAAATTAAATAAATTAAGGGAAAGCTCGAGCGGAGCTCCTCCGAAAGCTGATATTTCAGAATAACACCAATTTATTTATTTTTCAATACCGAATTTTAAACACAACATAAAAAAAATCCGGTGTCGGATATTCAAAGAAGTAGCGAAAAATGAGATAAATGAGCTCTTACAATTAGTATTCAAAGACAATATCCTAATCATAGGCGTGCGCCGGGAAAAGGATTAAAGGATTAAACAATTAAACATCATAAACGATAACAAAGGTACTTATTCCTATTTTTTATATTTAACTTTCACGTTCTGTATCTTTTAAAAAAGGCGCCTGAATAAACAATGTTTCAAAGAAATTCTATTATTTTCGCCCAGATCACCTTTACCTGCTTTTTTGTAACATCCTGTATATTTTTACGAAAGATTTGAATACACGAATCAACTTTGATATTAGTCCTTCATTTTGATCAAATTAGTGTTTAATAAATATGTCTAATATCTCTAAAGGTTGATAAAAATTGTATCATTGGGATTTCTGGCGAAAATTGACGTCAAACAAAAAATTATTCAAAGCAGAAGTTGTAGATTATGGAAAAACTACAACTTTTGTAGAGGTCACTTTTTAAGATAACCTCAAAATTCCCGAGAAAAATGCGAAAAACAGGTTTTCTTCTAATTTTTCGTTTTTTATTTCTCATTTCCGCAAAAATAATTTAATTTTGACGAAATTTGGTGAAAGTATACCTTTCTGTGTATTAAATAACCCCAAATTTTCGTAGAGAAAAATATCAAGAAGTTTCCGAAATATTCATTTTTTCCGGTCTGAAACACTTTTTTTCAAAGAAAAAATTCTACTTAAAAAATCATCGTACAGAGTTCTGCCGGTAATAATTTTTTTCGTTTTGACATATACTTTTTGGTGGAATAAAAAAAATCTGTAATCACAGTTCAAAAACATGCTCAAAAATGCAAAAAAATTAAAAATGACTTGCAACAATGAATTTTTCAGTAATTGTCGATAATTTGTTTAAATTTAAAAAAAATCAAAAACTGATTCAATTCTACGGAAAAAATACAAAAAAAAAATGTCTCATTGTTTGACCCAAAACTTTATTTTTGTACAGTATTGCTATAAACATAAGTCGAATAGTGAATAAATAAAATAAATAATATTTTTTTTTCAGTAGAAAAAAGTTTTTTTATACCTAGCAATATGCCGTTTAGAAAATTTTAAAATTCCGGGTAATTCAGGAGATATTCGGAAAAACCCGAAATTTTGCAAAATCATTTTAATTTTTTTCTGGATTTATTTGAAAACGAATTTTAAAATAAATTGCATATTTACAATGTCCCTTTTTTCGCTCTATACAATGGCTTCAACATTTTTGCAATCCGACGTTTCGTCTTCAAGGGGCCATCATTAGGTTAATTTTTTTAAATACGTCGCTGCCTATTTTTATGACCAAATCTAGTCATTTTTAATTCTGAATTAGATGATATTACTATTGTACTCGCTTGAAAAGTTTTAGCTATCATTTAAAATTTTTCCTGAGTACGGCTCTGAACGCTTTCAAAATATCTACTGGATAAAGTCATAACAATATAAAATACAAAATATCCAACAATTTTTTTTACTACTACTAGAAACACTAATTAGAAATAATAAAATATTTCATAAATTCGTATTATTTTTTTATTAGGTACAACTTTTTAAATTATTGATTAAAAAAAATTATTAGATATTTTGTGCGGTATTGACTTATACTGTTATGACTATCTAGTAGATATTTTGAAAGCGTTCAGAGCCGTACTCGGGAAAAATTTTAAATGATAGCTAAAACAAGCTAAAAACTTTTTAAGCCAGTACAATAGTGATATCATCTAATTCAGAATTAAAAATGACTAGATTTTGTCATAAAAATAGCGGCAACGTATTTAAAAAAATTAACCTGATGATGGCCCCTCGAAGACGAAACGTCGGATTACGAAAATGTTGACGTCATTGGATAGAGCGAAAATGTGGCATTGTAAATATGTAATTTATTTTAAAATTCGTTTTCAAATAAAGCCGGAAAAAGAATAAAATGATTTTGCAAAATTTCTGGTTTTTTGTGTTTCGCGTCAATAGTAGGCTTTGCAGTTAATACTTTGTATTGCTGAAATCTCAAATCATCCAGAGATAATTTATCAATTATGCATTTGTAATTCGACTTTGTTCGACGATGTTTATAGCAATACTGTAGAAAAATAAAATTTTGGGTCAAACAATGAGACAAGTTTTTTTTTGTAGAATTGAATCAGTTTTTGATTTTTTTTAAATTAAACAAACTATCAACAATTACTGAAAAATTCATTGATGCAAGTCATTTTTATTTTCTTTTTGCATTTTTGAGCACATTTTTGATTTTGAAACTTTGAAATTTTTTTTCGAGTCGAAAACGTAGATCTTTTTCTTACAGTTGAAATTAAATCGGAATGGCATTATCGCCTATTGAAAGCTGACATTCTTTCACGAATTTAAAAAAATACAGATTTGTGGTAGGTATAAGAAACGACAAGTAGGTAACAGCTCCGAAGAAAGAAACTTTCTCTACCGTTACCATGCCGAACCGTTTATCTGCATCCCCCAAACACCGATTGATCGGGGAAGCTTATAAAAGCACCCAGGAAGCCGTGCTGGCTCCACTAGTGGTGGTGCAGGCGGTGCAGCATGTACGGGGGCGGCGGAAGCAGCGGCGGAAAGAAGCAGCGTCCCACCACGGGATACCTGGTGCGCCCCCGCCTGGGGGCTCTCAGGTCCCTTTACTCCTCTAGACCCTTTTCGGCCTACGCCACGGACAAGAAGAGGAAGTTGAAGTAAGTCGCGATCTCGCACATTGGCAAAAAAATTTTAATACCTGTAACATATTCATATTAAATATAAAGGCCGATTCAAAATTCAGAAAAAAAATTTTTGAGGCCAAAATAAGACTTCTTTTTCCTATAAATAGTCCAATAAATAATCCAATCCAAAAAAATCTAAGAAAGATAGTGTATTTTTCCTGTTGCGCATAAACGTCGAAGTTAACCTAAAAAATTCATAAAAGTAAAAAAAAAACGGTTTTTTGCTAATAAAAAAAAAAATTTGAACTCCAATCGGAAAAAGTGAAATGAGAAAGTTGTAGCTATTAGAAAAACTTATCGATTCGTATTTTTAAATATATCGATCGCTAGATTACTTTTCGAGATATATCGAAAAAACCGTCAAAAATCGATTTTTTTTTGTTTTTGCTGTATCTCTTGCAACTTAAGGTTTTGAAACTTAGTACTGGCCATAAATGTAGCCCTCGGCAAGCAAAAAAGTGCATTTTTTTTAAATTAAAAAATATTAGAAATTTTTCGAGTTATAACGATTTTTCGAAAAAAAGGTCAACTCGAAAATCGGCTCTTCTTGCTCGACGAATAGTCGTAGAGAAACGAATCAGGGCTCATTTTTTTCCTTAAGAGTTGTACTTTTATGGTAAAAAGAAGTGATAACGATTTTATTCATTTCAAGTGTCGAAAGATGATTTTGAAAAAAGTAAAAATTCTTTGCTCGCGTTTTTCTCGAATATCTTTTTCGATTTTCATTTCTCGATAATGTCTCTTACAGCAATCGATTGCTGGCATTTTTACGCAATTTTTTTTTTTAAAACGTTGCTACCTTCTGAAGCCGAGATAATTTTTTTTTTTTCAAAAAATTCCACAAGCCGCTATTTAAGTATTACAGCGACCATTCTTGCAGAGATTCAAGTTGAAGACTTATATTTTCAATAAAAAAATACTGTGGCCACTTCTGTATTTTTAATTGTGCAAGGAATATGGAAATACAAAGCAAGCTGAATTTACCACTATAGATGCTAAATGTTATGTACAATAACATATTAGTTTCCACAGTCATAAAAATGGGAGGAATATTGTTTACAGGGTGGTCAATTGTATACTTTTTACGTAAATTCACGTTTTTCGCTTATAACTTTTTTTTGTTCATTTCCACGAGAAAACAGTACAGTACTTTTTTTTCACCTTCAAAATACCTACAAAACTAGCCTTCGAGCGTCAAAAAATATTGATTAGATCAAAAGTTATAAACAGAAGTTTATTTATGACTTTTGAATTAATTAATTAATTCAAAATTCATCATAATTTATTAATATTTTTTTAATTTCAAATTTGCAACCTGGAAATTGTTTTTTATTTATAACTTTTGATCTAATCAATATTTTTTGACGATCGAAGGCTAATTTTGTAGGTCTTTTGAGGACGAAAAAAAAAGTACTCTACTGTTTTCTCGTGGAAATGAACGGAAAAAAGTTATAACGCGAAAAACGTGAATTTACGTAAAAATTATACAATTAACCACCCTGTAACAATCTTCCCCCCCATTTTTATGACCGTGGAAACTAATATGTTATTGTACATAACATTTACCATCTATAGCGATAAATTCAGCTTGCCGAAACAAAAAGTCGCGAAATAGTAATTTCCCAGCTTATTTTCCTGGCCTATTAAATTTTCGAGGCTTTTCGCGAAAGTTGTGAGAGTAAAAGAAATTGAAATTGTACCCTCGATCAGCTTATTACTAAACACCTAGACACCTAGATAAATGATACTGACGAAACAATGAACATAAGAATATTCCTAATACATACGTTGCCATAGCAACCTACACTTTCATTTATTCTGCTCCGATGTCTACCTATCGCCGTTAACAAATCTTAAAAAATCGCTGTCTTTGGTATTAAAACCTGGTTAATTAATAGTATAAGTACCTAATCGCATGCAGCAAAATCTTATTGATTCTACCAATGTGTATCGTACGAACCCAACTCAACCTAAGGATACAAACAAATGGAATAAAATGAATAAATGTAGTCGTGTTAGTTCACCTGTACCTGTAGTAGGTTATTTCAGATACACACGATCGGATAAATTTATAAGCAAGTATTCCTAGAATTTTAAAATGGTTACCTACAGCTCTATTAGGGTTGCCAGAGTTGCAATGCAGTAAAACCAGAGAAATGTTGCAATAAAATCGTAAATTTGGGTCACTTTGGCGAGTCTCCGTTTTCAGAAAATCTGCCCTGCCGAAAATGGACTGGAGAAAAAGGCCGGACTACGCCGACACCGCTTACCGAGAGGCGGTGGGTCGGTTGAGAATCCTGCTGGCCGAAAGTTACGCTCCCATCAAGAGACCTCTGAGGGAGCTGGATAGCGCGGGCGAGGAAACGGACAACCAGTCCCTCATCAGTGCGGGAAGCCGAAATTCGAGGCCAGGGAGGAATTACTACCATTACACCCCCGTTACGTCCAGGAAGTATCACTATTATCCTCCACTGAGAACCCCCTACAATGTGCTGTCGACAGAAACAGAAAAGCCGCTGCCGTAAGTATAAACTAACAAAATACGTATATCGTTTAGACATTCCATGGCACTTATGATTTTCCGAAATATATCCAGCCTGCATTTTCGCCATCGTGAAATAATTTTTATTTACAAGAACATTTGTAGTTTCAAAAGAAAATTATACAGACGGTATTTTGTTATTTTCAGCGAACCTTCAAAGTCGGAACATAATTCCGCACCACCCGAATTGATGTCATTTATAGAGAGGCAAGAGGAATACATTGAACAACTAGAAAAAGAATCCAGGTTTTGTAGGGTAGATATTTAACAATTTTTATGCAAACAAGTAATATTCCTAACCTACTTCTTTTTTACAGGACGAACTGTCTTCGCTCTTAAGCAAGGTAAAAGACGTTATCAGCGAGAACGAGAATTTACACGAAAAACAAAAATCCAAACTGATAAAATCGGTTTTTGATCATTTGGAAACTGAAACTGAGACCGAAACTGAAATCGAAAATAAAAATGTAAGTCGTCAGAATTTTTTCCTGTTAGCAATTTGGTCACTGAATATTATTTTGCAGTTATTAAAATCACCGAAAAAGACGAAGAAGTCTAGAATCATTGAAGGCCCCTCCATAGTCTTCGAATCCAGGATTTCCGAATTAGAGGCTCAGCTCACTCAATCTCGTATCGACCTCAAGAAAGCTTTAGACGAAAACGACAGCTATAAGAGGAAAATTAATGACGGCACCATCTTGGAGAGCGTAGGATACGAATCGTACAAAAAGCAAATAGATCTCCTTCAAAGGTAGGACACTACAAATATTAATTACGTAATGCAATGCACATTTTCTGACAAAATTGTAGAGAGAAGGACACCCTGCAGGAAAACGTAACCAAGCTACAAAATGCCTTGGCTGTTCTACGCGACAAGGAAAACGACACGTGCGACAAGGTAAAACGGAGTTTGGATGTCGCCGAACAGGCTCAGTATGAAAAGAACGCAGCTGAATCTGAAATCAGGAGATTAAAGGACGAATTGGAACGGCAACATTTAAAATTAAGGGACGCAATAGCCGAACAGGTAATTTATATACAGAGTACCGATATATTTCTCCCTTCGATACGATCCCGTTGCCTTTCAGGGACGAAGAGTGGCAGACGAACGAGCCGCCGTCGAGAGACGATACACCCAACAGATAGAACAACTAACCGCGGAACTAGGGGTTCAGTGGGAAACCACCAATAAGATGCAGCTAGAGCTGGATAAACAGAGAAGGGAAAATGCGGATTTGCGCAGGGAAGTCACCCAGAAGCAAGCCCTGATCGACGAGTTGAAGAAGGACATGCAGAACAAAATAAGTAAGTATTTCAGAGTAATATTTATAAACGCAACGTACGCCGATTTCGACCATTGATGTGCAGAAGAAGGAGCTGGGGAAAATTTTGGGCAACCCAGGTCTCTGGTAGGCTGCCACAGCCACGTCCCCGAGCCTGCCTTAGGTCACCCATCCAAATTCCAGCTTGAGTCCGTGATGCTGCCACAGCCACGTCCCCGAGCCTGCCTTAGGTCACCCATCCAAATTCCAGCCTGCGTCCGTGATGCTCGCCTCGGCAGATCGAAATCCGCCGGCCAAGTCACCTGGCTAGGCAGTCCTTAGGGTTTATCCTTATTCCAAATTAAACCACGTGCGGTCTTTTAGATATAAAAGAAATATACCGCGTGTAATATTGAATTGTTTGTTTCGTTTTCGTATCTCATCCGCACCTTGTTTGATAGTTACCCTGCAAACCGACATCGGTGTCAGTGGGGCGGAGAAAAGTGCCCTGGAACAGCAAATATCCACCCTCCAGATGGCCAACGAGAGGAGCGAACGACAACTGAAGCAAGAGATAGCTCGTCTGCAGGTGGAAATCCAATCGCTGAGGCAAAGGCTGGACAGAGCCGACGTGGACCTGATCCACAGCCGCAGAGAAAACATCAGGCTCACCGAACACGTGGCCTCGTTAGAAAAAGAAGTGAGTACGCTCGTTAGGAATAAAAATAAGTGGAATTTTAACTTGTCGTAGAATCTTGCTTGTAAAATGATTTCCGTTTTTTCTTTGCAGATAAATTTAAACGCAGCTATAACAGACGAGCGAAGCAAGACCCCCAGGGGAGGTGAGATTGTCGCACTGCCTCCGCCCGCCCCGAAGAAAGAGGATCGTGAGAAAGAGCTAAGTTCCATGATACACGACATGGAGAACAAACACGGTAAGGGTCCCGCATGCTACGTACGTCACTTTCGAGCATTTTCATTATTAAATAAAGATCAGTCGGGAAAAAAAAATACTTTGATACGTCCATTTTGTTTCAAAAAACGCCACTAGAGCGTAGATAGGAAAAACGTTTGCAAACGAGCGAGAGTACGAATAAAAAAAGTTCAGCTCTTACTTACGTCAATGTGTTTGTGTGCTAGAATGTGGCTATTTACCATGAGTTGATTTTGGAGGGCGTCATCGAGAAATAATTCTTCATGTGTTGCAGCGGCCACGGTAGCCGAGCTCGAGACCATGATCTACTCCCAAAATCAACTCATGGACAAACTGTCGACGGACTGCCACGTCCTCACTCGGAAACTAGAAGATGCGAGCGTCAGACACAAGTAAGAAGTGTTCGCTTTTGGAAAATATACTAGATTCAGGAGATATTCCGAAAGTGAACCAGGAAAATTTCGAATCTAAACTGTCGCGGATCTTTCCGCTTTTTCAACTACGATGTTTGAATTCGAAGAGCACGTAGGGAGGTTATCACATTTATTTCAAATTGAACGGAAATCATTTACATTTATCCGAACGATGCCCAAATGTTTGTCCACTTTTTTAAAACTCAAAGATGTGTCTTAATTGCCAGTGTTGCGAGAAACAACTACTCTGAGGTCTATACTCCCCTACTGGCATTGAATTATACTCGCAACACCTAGTGCAACAGCTAGGATCGTTCGTCAGTCGAACCCACGATGCACAGACCGGTTTCGGACTTATTGGTCCTCATCAGTGTGTCATAGGTGAGACAACCGACGAACGATCCAGCTGTTTTGTCTCCGTATAATTCAATGCCGGTAGGGGCGTATAGCCCTCGGAGTAGTTGTTTCTCGCAACACTGGCAATTAAAACATATCTTCGCCCTCTGCGGGTGGCAGTTGTGCAACAAGCATCTGCAATATAGCGGGTCAGCACGACAGATGGGGTCATTTGCGCTCCCGCGTACAATCAGAGATGCGTCTCCTGAACTAGTAGGGTAATAAATTGTAGTTGTAGTTGTTGTATGTATCAGTTTTAAATGTCTAATATGTGACTTGTGTTTGGTAGGGACGGACCAGGCAAATCCCAAAAGCGAGTCCGATTCGCAGTCAGTCCGACCAACCAAACGCAAGGAGCCCATTAAAGTTGATATCAGTGTTAAAGTGGTCCCCAAACCTCGCAAGGTCAGTCACTTAAAAAAGAACATAGTAACGGTAAATGTGGAATAAAACTAGTAACAGTATCGGTTCCTTCTATACGATCGATAACAAGCGAAAGTAATGAGCTAATTTTTTTTATGTATATGATAAAATGTCCTGAAATAAGTTCTGGGATTTTAACTCGTCAAAAACAACAATTTTTGTCTAACAATTTTTTTCGAAAGCATAAATCGAAACGATTAGATTTTGAATAGTAAACAAAAATATGCGGAATTAATTTTGTCACAATTGATTAATAATAAAATTTGCTATAATCTAGTTCAGCGAAAAATAACCAAAACTATAAAGTTGCATGGATTCAAATCTGGCAAACGAGCAGGCCATGCAACTGCACCATTAATTCACCGTACGGGGTTCTTTTAAAATAGTCCAAACTGAACTTCTTGGGACTTTATGCTGGCTACGACAGCTACTTCCAGGATTATTTGCAACATCCTCCAAAAGGGCACCTTTAAAATAGTGAATCAGTTGATAAAACATTCTCGCGCTTAGCTATTTCTTAGATCCGTAGGCGGCGTGTTAGTGTTATTTTAACGAAGTAAAAAATACTGCCAAACATGTAACAAATTAGAATAATTAGACTAAAGTTGTTGCTTTTGAATATGTCGAATGTACGGTTGAAACTTTGGCGCTTATTTCTGGGACACCCTGTATACTAGTTATGTCACACTTGTATTGCACGTATTTACGAAACTTTCTTTCGCTAGTTTCTAAAAATCGAATCGACTACTTTTTAGAATCGGTAGTGACTTTGTGGTTAATCGAGAATTAAAAGATAATAGCCACTACTACACTAATCCAAACAAATCAAAAGAATTTCCGAAATTTTTCCGTGATTTTTGACAAGACTGTATTTAAGTGAAAAATGGTCGTATCGAGAATTAAAAAAAAGCATTTGGAAGCTCTAAGATTCTAGTTTTTAGATCTTTCAGTCGAAAATTTTTAGGAGCTACGATTATCATGCAATTCTAAGAAATAGCGTGACAAAAAAATTTTACAAATTTTTTTTATTTTTTTTTCCGAGTTTACGGGCTTGGAAAAATTTTTCTCAGCTAAGCCATTGCATGGACCCAGATAGCTTGTTTATTCAGCTTTAATTTCCTTTTTTAAAATAACAAAAAAATTTTTTTGAGGTTTTCTCACATTTTTACCGCAAATAACTTTTAAATTGATGAAAAAAAAAATATTTTTTGAAAAATTTTCAAAAAATTTTCGAATTTTTTTTTTTTTTGGAAAACCTTCCAGATATTGAAGAAAACAAAATCCAATTGTTTCCAGTACGATTCGGCTTTTCTGTCTCTCTGTATGCTTCTGTTCTTCAATTTTGAATTAAATTAAAATTTAAGTTGACCCAAACCAGATTTCGATCCCGATTTATACCGTTTTTTGAGAGAAATTTGTAATTAACTTTTGTGCAGTCTGTAATCATTTAAAAAACAATTTTTCTTCAAAACTACCAATTTTTTTCTGAAAAAAAATTTCGAAAATTTTTCAAAAAACATTCGAAACTGCTCTTCAATTCCCTGTACGATCATTTGTCGCCAAGATATCGAAGATTGAAGACAAAATGATCCTTTTCCATTAAAAGACCGATATTTCAATGAATAATGGTGGTATCGAAATTTTAAAAAAGGAAATTAAAGCTGAATAAACAAGCTATATGGCTTTTCTGAAAAAAATTTTTCCAAGTCCGTGAATTCGGAAAAAAAATAAAATTTGCAAAAATTTTTTGTCGCGCTATTAGAATTGCATGATAACCGTAGCGCCTAAAAATTTTCGACTGAAAGATCTAAAAACTAGAATCTTAGAGCTTCAAAATGCTTTTTTTTAATTCTCGATACGACCATTTTTCACTTAAATACAGTCTGTCAAAAATCACGGAAAAATTTCGGAAATTCTTTTGACCCTTTAATTGTTTGCATTAGTGTACTAGGTGGATACATTTTAATTGTTTATGTTGTGTTTATAGGGAGGAAATACGGGAGCTACAAACTAGCCTAGAATTTTTAAACAGTAGGTTTATTCAGTCACAAATGTCTACGTCCAAAGCCAAAGGTACAAACGATAAAAAATACATAATTTTGAATTTATATATTCTTTTTTTTTTTTCAAGTCGTAGTAGTAGTAGCTAAGAAAGCATGCACGTTATATTTTTGATCAATTTCTGCCACAACAATCGTTAGTACTAAGTATTTTAGTCTTACTGTCGTCATACTTAAGTATCGCGTAATTTTAAGACGATTTTAACGAATCTTGTTCCGACAGATGAGGAACATACTGCAACAAACAGTCAAAGAAATAGATCACCTCAAAACGCCAAAGTACAACCTGAAGTTTCAAGCCGTAAAAGCAGCACCGGATCGTCTAAGCCGAAGATACCGTCGAGGCAAAGCAGCAGGGACAAATTCCAGAACTCGGCGTTGCCGCCGCATCAGCAAACTCAACAAGGCGCCAAATCCAAAACTAAGCTGCCGTCTTCTGCATCTAAAGAACGACTGGCTAACATTCCGAAACCGGAAGCGAAAGACGAATATCCCTCGGAATCCAAAGAGAAGAATCAGCAGGAACCAAAAGAACAGGCCGATCCCGAAGATAAGCAACAGAGTGAACCGATTAAGCAGAAATTCGCAGAAGACGATCAACAGTACGGCGATCAGTTAGATCAACAGTACACACATCAAGAGTACGATCCCAACTCGCAGTTCGACGTTAATCAGGTCTACGGTGCAAACCAAGAATACAGTCCCGGCCAGCAGTACGATCCCAGTCAACAGTATGACGTCAGTCAGTACGATCCTAATCAGCAGTATGATCCGAATCAACAATACGATCCTAACCAACAGTACACGGTGCCCCAAGAATACGATCCTAACCAACAGTACGAGCAGTACGTGGAAGACGGCGATCAGCAGTACGCCGACAATCCAAATCAACAGTATCCCGTCGATCCTAACCAAATGGAAGTGGATAATCTGCAACAGTTCGGTCAGAGCAATTCCGAGAATATCGAAACGGTAGAAAAGTAATGAAGTCGTAAGATTTTTAGTTCAACGTTGTAAATTTGTTTGTTACTGCGAAAATAAAGCTTGTTGGGGCCGATGCAAAGGACAGAAGTGCAATATATAGTCGATATGTGTATTACTTAAATTTGTTAAGTACTTTATATTGGAATAGGTGCAATTTTATTAAATATCCAGCTGAAATAAATTATCAAATTATTTATTGTAATTTTCACTTTGCCGTTGGCTGGGCGGTGAATTGGGCGAAGTGGCCCAATTCCTTGGCCTCCTAGAAGTCCTGAGTTAACTCTAATGGACTTTTATTTACGAGGTTATCTCAAGCAGAAAGTCTATGGGTTCCCGTGGAATAACCATTTATTTGAATTGAAACGAAGAATAAATGATACAATTCAAGAAATCCAAAACGCCTACACAGAATTTACCAGGTGCGCTGAGCGATGTGTAATGGTTGGTTGCAGCACATTTGAATAACCATTATATTATTTATTTGTAGGGAGCTCTATCTGGGTGGCTGTTTCAGGCACACTATATTTTTCTATAAAACTTTAATTTTTTCATAAAGACAAATCTAAACACTTCTTTTTCGCACATAACATCACATAACCTCTTTTTTTCCTAACTAACCATCACAGAACACCATAGCCTAAGATAAGAACACTTTACTCCAGATCTCCTCATCTTCTTCTTCTTATTCGAATAAGAATCGCGCGGGATTTTTAAATATTTGAAACGATTACTACATATTTATATTTATTATATTAGTTACGTTTTTTTTTCTAATAAATAACTAGGAATTTGTACTCTTTCTGGTTGTGGAAAATAAAAAAAACCAGTTGGCCGATCGAATTGAAAATTGATAATCTGTCATAACTGATAGCTTCATTTATTTATTTAATAATAGTAAAACAATTCTGAAATCGAAATTTTAATATTTCGTGTAACAATTTTTGTGACATTTTTGTAAATTCGGTCGTAGAGGGTGTTTTTTTAAATTTGTATTGTTTTGCCAGGTAGCATAAATAGCAACAATTTTATTCAAATTGTTTATAAGCGAAAAACGCACGAATTTTTAATGCACAATTTGAGAATGTTAATGTCAAAGAAACGGTGATATTTTTTAATAGATCGCTTAATTACATCTTTAAGATTACAATGACGCTTAAAAGGTTCATAACTTTTGGAGCCTCCGTTATAAACAAATTGAATTGTGCTAAAACTATTGCACTTACAGCACCCTCTTTTGGCACACTTTTAAAGTATGACAAAACCCTCAACTTGTCATAGGATTTATAAAATTTTAACGATAAAAGCGATAGTTATAAACAAATTAAAAAATGGGCACTTTTCTTGTTTTTTTGCAATAACTTTTTTGTTTATTAACCGATTTTAATTTAACAAGTCTCATTTTGTAGATAATTTTACTCCCTATAAGCTGCCTGAGAGGCACTTTTCGCTAAAGTTGATGGTTTTCCCTGCAAAGTAAAAAAACTGTTTTCCTCACTTATTTGTTTAAATAGAAAAGTTAGCTAATAAAATTAGCATTAAACAATTTTACAATAATCCCGCGGATAGGACTTTTTTTCGAGTTTCTATTTTTGCTAATTTTCCTGGTGTATCTTGACAATTTTTGAAAATTCATCGTAAAAACACCCAGACTAATTTTTGCAACTTCCTAGTTTAAGGCCCGGCACAGTTGATGCCCAAAAGCTCAAATTTCAACTCGAAAAATTTTTGTAAATTTCACTAGGTTAATTTTTAATTTTTTAAATTAACATTTTGCATAAGGTTTTTTAAAGTTAAGCGATTTTCTCGATTTTGGAATATTTTTTTGCTGCATGAAAAAAAAAATCGTTAAAACTGAAACCCTGATAATCCCGGAAAGTTAGACAAAAAAACGGAATAAGCGAACTTTTTTACCGAGATTTTTTGTAGAGAAGTGTAGGTTTTGAAGTCAGAAAACATGTATCACACACACAACCACCGGCAACATACAGCGGTTTGAGATATAGACATACATAAATATGATTTTTCGCGTTTTTCGAACAAAAAATTTTAGGGGCTTGGAAAAATCTGAAAAAATTACTTTAGACTATAACGGTACCGGCAAATCCAAAACTAAAATGAATTTCTCTCTAGCTCGCGTAATTTTCGAGATATTCTATTTTTTTCCTCAGGAAAGCAACTTACAAAAAAAACGGACTACATCAGCATATTCTGCAGCCCAAATTAGATACGGTGTCATCTTTGACGGCATTTAAATTTTTTGAGAATTTTCATAGCAATTTTTGGTAAAAAAACGCGAGAAATCATACAAATATGTGTATATCTCAAAAGGCTGTATGTCGTTGGTTGTACCGTGTGCGATATGTATTTTGTAACCTTAAACATATACTTTTCCGTAAAAAAAATCTGAGTAAAAAGTTTGTTCATATTTTCCGTATTTTCCCGGACAATAAGATGCAGAATTAAACGTACTTTTCTCTGTTTGGACTCTTCCAACGAATTAACTTGATATTAAAAATTGACATTAATTGTTTCCCAGAAACTGGTAAATTATTATCGTTATTTAATTAAATAAGTTTTTCCAAATTAATTGAAGTAATTAAAGATGTGGACGCACAGATTTTGAACTATACAAATATCGTACAAAAATAATTTTATGAAATATGTAAATTTTAACTGATTAAATGTTTTTTCTCGAAAACCGTTGATTGGAACCAGAAATGCTGTTGGCAAGATTTTTCAACCGTATTTAACATTTTATACTTTATTTGGGATCGCCCTGTATATACCACAACTTTTAAAAATTTATTGACGTTTAGAACACAAAAAAACAAAGACTGTTTCAAAATATTTTATTCACCTACATACAAACATAAATCAAGAAGAAACATTCAACTAAAGAACTATTTATCAAAAAAACTCTTCTCTTTTAAGAAATCACGAAAAACAACTTAAGGGGGTAAATTGTACCTAACCGATTCATTATGGATTGCCCTAATGAGGTCGTGATTGACAGAAAAAATGAACCTTAAACACGAGATCTCCACTACAGCGTTGTCGTATAAACGTACCTTATTGCCAGCAGTTATCGGTCGACCGTCCACAAATATCGGTCTCTTACCTTCCGAGGACAAATAAAATTCCCCAGTATTCCTCAACCTGCAACAAATGGTTCGCCACAATTTGGTAACACGTTTCCTAAAATTATCACTTAATTACCTCAACGTCGCCTGTCGTCGCGATATCTTATGAGCGGGACCTTCTAAAGACAAATCGATATCGACCATATGCCCCTTCCCGGACCTTCCAATACTGATTTCTCGGCTCCTCATCAAATACCTGACCATCCTGCCTCTCAGAACTGCAAGGGTTTGGCTGTCCAATTCGCCGGGGCAAACACCCGTCACGCTATCGACGAGAACGTTCCATCTACCCACTTCGTTCTCCAGCTGCCTTATCTCCTTCACGTTTCTTCTCTGTTGAAGTTTTAGCTCCTTGTCGAGTGACTCGTCTGGAGGTTCGGTTAATTCCGAGTCCTGTACCAGCTCTTCGGCATCGTTGAATGTCATTATGGCCCGTCCCGATGTCGGTAGAGGACCCAGAACTTGGTCGGGTAACAAATGATACATGCGTAATGTTTGCCAATGACGAAACAGAGACACTGCCGTACGACCAGTATAGAAAATATCAGCATGTTGCGACAGAATATCCGCGAAAGTCTCCACTGTAGGAGGAGGGTTCGTATTCTAAAACAAAAAAACAGCAGAAAACAACACAAATAAATTGAAATTAATAAACAGTTATTTACGGATTTTATGGTACTCAGTATCTTCTCCTCCTGTTGGCTCCATAGTGCCCTATCCTGAACCGCAGCTATAATATCTGGGTGCAGATTTCTCATTGCAGACACTGCTACCCTTGACACGGCCTGATCATACAAAAGAGCGTACCATCTCTGCTGCAATTCCTGTACTGTGAACTTACAAGAAAATTTAGTTCCCAAGTGGACAGTACGTAAATCGTTAGTTTGCTGGACACCAATAATCAAGGCAAGGTCGTCTATTGGTTTCCACCGGCCTAAATCTTTAGTTACAAACTGGCTTGTTTGTCGTCCTTTTTTGCTGCGCTTTGAACTGCCCGGTACACTTTTAGCTAGATGTTTCCTTTTAGGGTCAGAATGGGAGTGAATTGCTGTGGGTTGATTTACTACTGGAGGAGTTGAGGGGGAAGCCACTGAGAAGTCTGAATGAGAAGAGTGTGTGCGAGACCTACCACTCTGTAAAGAATTGTCATAATTTTGCTTTTCTCAACATACAATTTAAAACACTTACCTTTATGTTCGACACGCCTGGCATTCCTAAGCTGTATTCTACTAATTCGTCGTCAAATTTTCTTCGTTTTATAGACCTGTTTGAACTGTAAAGTAATATATCAATAACAATTAAATACTGGTGACATAACCTCAACTCTACCTTCTACGTCTAGTAACATCTGCACTATCTCCTAAATGACTTGGGGTTCCTAAATTATACTCACTACCGCCTTGCAATAATTCTGATTCATGTACACCTTCCATTATTTATAACAATTAGAACAATTTTATTACTATACAAACATAATCACAGAAAACAAATTATCTACATGTATGTGTGAACAAACGTAGAACGTAATAAAAATAAATAAATCACAGAGAGACCATAGAACACAGAACATTTAATCTTGAGACAAACCATAAGCAAAGATAACGTAAAGTCCCTAGATATTAATTAAATGACTAGACAAGGAGCACGAACTCATGAGAAAATTGATAAAATTTGATAATGTAATAGTAGAAAATGTAGAAATTATTTATAGTTTTTAGTTTTTAGTGCTAGGGTCGCTAGTATTCCTTGTACAACGACATAGATTATTTATTGATTTATTTATCTAATTTAAAGTAGCCTACATTATTTATTTTAAAATTTTTAAACACATCACAAAAACGGCATGATTGATTTTTAATAATAGTTTCAATGTTGCTGCCAGTTTTAAAAAAAAATACGACCACTGTAAAAGTTTTGACCGTTAAGAGGGAAAGGTAACCGCAGAAAACTATCACCCAGTAAATCGATTTGACTAAAGTTTTAAGAAATAAATACGCCATAATTGTCCATCTACGTATGTCACCCTGTATATACATAGACAAAAAAGGATTTTTTGGCGAGAAAACCGCTAACCCGGTTAACTATAGTTTGTTGAGGTTTGACGTTTTGGCGAGAAATGTAGTTAACCCGGTTTGGCAGAGTTTGCCTAACCATCAAACCGGTCTTGTGGGTTGGTTTGGATATTAAGTTAATATTTCTATCTTTGTTTATTTATTTTCTGTTTCGTACCATCGTACCTAGTCACTACTTCGTTTTTTTAGAGGTTTGGATAGGTATAAGTTTTAGAGGTTTGGATAAGTAATCGAGGATCCAAATAACTTTAATCGTATAGATATGCATTTTCTATATTGTACTGTATAGATCTTTATTAACTTCCTTTTAGACGATACATTTACATTGAAATAGATAATATTTGTGAACAAGGTAAACCCATTTTGATATAATAACCATCTATACATTAACGTTATTTCATGGATGTGCATTTCAGATTAAGAATAACAACTATAGTATATAAGAAATAATCAAACAACTTGAGCTACGAGCACTATCATAGATTATAGGTTACGATTTTATTATTGATTAGATATCCAAACCAAAAGAATTTTTGGGAGTTATGTCAAATGTTAACTCAAACTCTTAACACAATCAAACTCGAGCTAACCGGGTTTGATGTGGTTTGGCTCGCCAAAAAACCCTTAAAGTGGATATATTCATACTTATTCGTTTTTGTTCGTTAAAACTCGTTGAGATACGTTCAGTTAATTTTTTTCCAACCTGACTCTTTTTTGTCTCTTTTTTTATGGTTATGTTTTATGTTTTAACGGTTCAAGTTAAAGAGAAAAGTATTTATAGCTTTAGTAGAATTTCTGTGATAAAACTAATAAATGTGTATAAAGTGTTTAAATTGGTCTTATGTGTAACTCGAGCAATAAAATTTAAAGGTTTTTAGTGATGTGATATGTCGACTTGTACTTTTTTTTAATATATTTAGTGACACCAAACATTGCAACATTGCACTGACTAAAAATGGATATCACTTCAAAAAAGTCAGATATTAGTAAGAGGATATTGGAAACTAGAAAACAGACTGAAGAATTAAAAGCACAGTTGCAGAATCTGATAGACTCTGGAATTAATTCCTCATTAGAATATAAGACTACAGTTCATTCCCATCTGGATAAAGAAAATATTACAGAATCCCAGAATAAAGTACAAATTATCAAATCATATGATACTAAACATTCCCAGCATATAACGAAACCAAGTTCCTCTAGAACAAATTTACCTGAAAGTTTTCAAAACATAAAACCTGAAAATAAAGAGAGAAAAGCAAGAAACTACGATGTGAATAAAGCCCGTGAATACATAAAGAAGCAACGAGAGAAACGCCTAGAGCAGCAGAAGATTCAGGATGAACAAAAAAAGAAGGTGGAACTTCAGAAACAAAAACTTCAAGAGCTTCATAAAAAATCATTGGAATTAGTTACAAAAAATGTGCAGGCTAAAAAGGAAAAATGTAAATCACATGAACGTATCGATTTGGTAAGACCAGTAAAAGATATCCCGCGAAGCAGATCTTTATCACGGGAAAAAGGTTATGTTAATAGAAATACACCAGGTTTAAAAGATGACCATGGTAGAAAAGGAAAATCAGTAGAACGGGTAAACAAAATACCACTGGAGAACTTACGGCCTATAGATACTAATTTATTATATCCTCCGACTCAAGAACACAATACATCAAGTAAAAATTCACCTGGGACTTGTAATAAAATAGTAATTTTAAGTGGTAATAATACCGGCAAAAAAATAGGAACTCCAAAATTAGATCTTAAAAATGAGGCAAAATTATTAAAACCTAAAAATTTATTTAACACTCCAAAAGATACTAATACATTGCACCCTCCACCACAGGACTATGAATTAAATAGTCGAATGCAGATAAACAATTTAAATGAGGACGAGAAAATTGGTGAAGCAAATATAAATTTATCTCGTAGTTTTCGTATAACTAAAAATGTAAGTGATAATACAGGAACAAAAGTGGAATCAAGAAAACGAAATTCTTTAGAGCCGAAAGATACCGAAGTATCACTTACGACAAATGGTAAGTCGCCGTTAGAAGATGAGTTAAATAAAAATGTTTCTATTAATAACATACTTGAATATAAAAATACTCAGAATAAGAACAGTCTAAATATAAATGCTAGTGCAAATTTAAAGACGACAAATAGCGATAATTTAATAAAACCCAAGTCTGATAATTTAAAAAAGTTTACAAAAGAAACTCAAACAAACAGTGAACCAAAGCGGGAGTTCCCCTCCTGGCTTCAAGAGAAAAAATACGATTCTAGTCCTTTAAATTTTATAAACACCGTTAAAAGAAAATTACAATACACCATAAACTCCCCTATGACATACGTAGATGTCGGGGTTCAAAGTTCTTTAGCGCAACAAAATTTTAAACCAGACACTCCACAGAATATCGGGAACAAAAAACAAATTTTAGAGATTTTGCAACGCAGTGCAAAATCTAGTAAGAAATCAGATCTTAAATCGTTCATATCTCACAAATGCCTTAATTTGAATCAAAAAAGTATTCAAAACCTCGATCTCATCCCAAAGGATTTTAGTGGCAAGAATTTAACAATATCAAGAAATACGGAAACGGAGAGCGAATCTGACACATCAAAAAATATCCCTGAAATTTCTAGCGAGAGTGGAACTTCAATAAAAAAGGACGCTGAATCCGTTAAACAAAATGGTAGTATTGGATTAGACGCAGAAAGATTAAGTTCCTTGAAGCTTACGGCTCACAATATGGATAAAGATACACACACTATTCACTTGGAAGCATCACGAACAGAAGCGACACCAGCTGTAACAAACGGTGGGTCAACAGTTCACATAAACTTTGACGATGTAGTGGATACAAATACTCACACAAAGAGATCCATATATGAAAACGATCAATATATGTCAGATTTTCAATCGAGTAGTCGTTCTATAAGTCCCCGAAGTAGTTTAACACGAAATAAAACAACCGTGGATTCAAAAATTGCAGATTACCAAAATTTAATGGATCCGCAAATTATGCTTTACTCTGAAAAACATTCCAATAACATTCCTAAAAGTTCAGAAAGACATTCCAAGAATACTACAACGGATATTAAGATAAATGGAGAAAGTGAAAGATCTAGAAATATTACAGTAAGGAATAATAGTATCGGGAGAAGTATATCTCGCGTTACTTCAATTGAAAGTGATGGTTTGACGAATAGAAAAATGACGTCAAGTGATAAATCGATTGAGACGGAAATGCAAGGAGGTGAAAATAAATTTGAAGAGTCTGAACACAGCGAACCCTTAACCAGTGTTGGAAGTTCAAAAAAGTCCGATAAATACAAGTCTCTCTATTCAGATTTTCATCCGTCTGCGACTATTAGCGAAATGTTGACGAAATCCGATTCTAATCTACAAAGTATCAATACCCGAAGGGGGTCCGATGTTGCTGCAGCAAATAGTATACCACCTTTAAAAGAACCAACGCTGTCGCTGGTAGCCAACGAAAAAAGTAAAGTGAAAGTGGACAAAAGCAGACTGTTGAAGAATATTTCTTTACAGTCCGCAGAATTTGACGATCAGGTGTGTTGTGATGTTTGAGTATCGTTTTATATTTCTGTATATTTGTGTTTTGTTTTAGAATAATAGAAATGAAATCCACTTGAAATTTGAAGCGGAAATTCACCTTTTAAACGACTTTAACGAATCCCTGCGCCAGTTCTCGGAGGTAGAAAAGGTAAAGTAGAAAATTAAAATAGCGATGGCCGATGTATACAAAATATTTTTTTCTAGGCTTTTAACTCTTTGAAATCGAAAAACGATGCCGCCGCACCAACCAACAAGATTCTCCAGAATCAAGACACTCAAACTTCCATCGTAACGAAATCTCCTGCGCCCTCTACTAAGGCGAAGGAAAACGGCGTTTCCGATGACAAAAGCGAGCTGTCTTCCATAAATTTCTCCAGGGGTTTTCTGGTTAACGGCGATTCGAGCAGTTTGAATGTCGATACCACCGTTTCCAAGCTGGACGATACAAACAACGCTGAAGAATTTTTAAATATGAATATCAACAACGATTTATCTAATTTCGAAAATGTGCAGTCGCATAATTTTGCCGGCATGACACTTAGAATGGTAAGTCCTGTTAATTTATTTGTTCCTTTATAACAGAGTTTTTATAATTTTTTCATAGTTTGAACAACTTATTAAAGACGAGGACGTTCGGTTAGAAAACTTAAAGACGATCTTGAAAATCAGAGAACAAGCCTTGTTGGATAGAACGAAGGGGGAATTGGCGTGGCTGGAGATACAAAGAAAGTAAGTAGTTTCATTTAATGTCTATAAAATTGCATCTTGAACTTATTTCGATTTATTTTGTTGTTTACAATTATACACTGGTCGCAAAAATTAGAATCCTAAATTCTTAGGTGGTTTTAAAAGTAATAAAAAAAAATAAGCAATTGAAAATTGATCTGAAAGTCAAAAAATTTTATCATCCTTTAAGAAATCATAAAAAATCCAGCAAAATTTTTTTTTTTCAATTTCATGTTTTTTTTTAATATTTAACATGTTTCGATGAAAAAAAATATGAATTTTTGCGAAAAACACAATTTCAATTTAAAAAAATTTATAAACGATGCAAAATTGTCTTTTAAGTGATTTTTTAGCAAAAATGACTGTTTCAACCATTCGGATCACAATGAAAAAAAATCGTAGCAGTTTGAACTCTTGAGGGTTTTTTTGGGATACTTTGAGTTTAAAAAAAAACGAAAAAAATCCTCGGTCTATTCATTATTTGTAAAGTTATCTCAAGTTTAGCGAAAATTCTTAAATTCGCAATTTTTTATTTTTTTTTAAATCATGTTTCTTGCATCGAAAATTTTTTTTTTTTTAAAGTGATAAGAACGTCTTATAGGGGATACGTTGAAGTTTCCGTAACTCTGCTTAGATTTTCTGTACGATCATTAGTTGCCGAGTAATTAATTAGCAAAACCAAAAGGTCATTTTTGCTTTAATCGATGATAACTCGGCGACAAATCATCGTACAAAGCTCTTGAACCGTTCAAATTAAAGAGGACACAAGTGGGATTGCCAAAAAAAAATTACTGAAGTCCGTGGACTTTTTGAAAAGGGCGTTACAACATTTTGAAAATCACTAAAAATTTAGTATTTATTTTTTATTCTTTAATTTTTTAATAATATGTATTTATTCCCGTTTGAAAGTTCAACAAAACGTAAACAACTTTACATTCATTATAAATAATAATGCATTATAATTTTTAACTTCCTGTTAAGCCAGTGTATAACAGTGTTAGATAAGCAGTACACAATTTTATATTCCTAATGTTTGTTTTTGGATCTTTCCTTTTTAACTTTATTTTACGAACTGTTGTGAATAAATTGATTTGTTATTTTTAACGCCTTTCAGGCATTTGAGAGAGACGGGAAAATTACACGAAGCGTCTCTAATCAAAAAGAAACAGAGGGGCATTTTAGTGAACCACCAGAAAGAGAGACATGAGATGCAAAGGTAAATATAATAAATTAGTATTATCATTTTATCACGCCGCGTTTCAAACTTATTTTCGTGATTAAACATATAATCGGGATAATTTATAGACCGTTGTTATCTAAAATCTGAAATGACAGTGTTTATTAGTTTTAAAGATTATTACAAATACGTGGTTACTATTAATTAAAAAAAAATCTTATCTTTATGTAACTGATAACGTTATCATTACGTATTTTAACGGCTAACGTAAATATTGAGCACAAGACTGCTTATTATGTCTCGTTGTTGGTGTGTATGTATTTACAAAGTGAAAAAATCTACGATGGACACAAACGACGCTCGTTGCTTTATCAAATAAATTCCTGAATCAACAGTAAAGTGTTTAAAACAGGTAAATGAGTAAGAGTGCACGACCAAACGTTTGTTTTCGAAGTGCGAGAATTTTTAATTGCAGCGTTTTAGATATTTAACCGAACGGGCAGTTTTAAAATTGAAGGAAACCGCTTTAAATAAGCGTACCGCCAAAGTTTAGCAACTGTCACGTTTGTGAGTAATCGAAGTACATTTTTGTTAAAAAAATTGTTATAAAATATTTTAAAATTGCTTCACTTCTCACAAATACGATTTTAAAATAACTTATTTGACTAAAATAACAATTTAAAAAAAGAAATAGACATAATTAACCGTTAATCAACCGACAAGATTCATATATTCTATCCGAGGTCTGTGATTTGAAATTTTTTTTGGCACAAAACATGAAGCTTTTGTGACCTCCGTTTATTACCTTGGTGGAATTAGATTTCGATCAGTCGTTAAGTCTTAACGACCTATTCGAGTAATTAGTATATAAGTACCATTTCAGTTTCCCTGATTTCTTCTTTTATTTTAATTTAAAGTTGCATGTTCCATAATATTCGTCGAAATATAAAAATAAAATTTCTCGTTACAAGCCTAAGAGAAAATTAGTTCCAATTAAATTTAACTATCTTGATTTTTTTTCAAAATTTGGAAACTGGTTTATGCGAGGACCGTCGTTGAAAGTATGTTTTTGTTTCATTTAGGCTGAAACAAATGCAAAAGGCAGCTTCGATAGAGAGGAAAATAATTTTGAAAGAACAGAGAAATTTAATAAAACATCAATTATCGACTGATAAGATGCTCTCGAAGATAAAAGTGAATACGCCGCGAGAGCGTAGGCTCTCTGGTCCTTTGAAGGTAAAGCTATATATAGAATAATTGTTTACGAGATAAACGAAGAAAAAACGCATTTTTTATTCCTCGTTTTGTACTCGCTTTGTTGCGTAGGTCATTCAAAGCCATACAGAGTCGATAAGGTCGGAGACGTCGTTCTCAAGAAGGAGCTCCAGCGAGAAGGAGAAGGAAACGTACAGCGTGATATCGCACGCCCAGTCCATCGTGAGCATGGTGTCTGAAATATCGGGCGAGGAGGCAGTGCAGAAGGACAGGGCGCCTAGGGCGGAATCGACGGATCTGGCCATAAAACTGCCCAGCGAGGCGTGCGGCGTTCCCATATCTCAAATGAAAAGGTCTGTAGGAGTATCGAAATTGATTATTTTTTGTTTTCGTACTTTTTTTCTTCGCTTTTTTATGATTTATTAATTGTTTTTACATTTATTTATTTGCGATTTTTTTATGTTTTTAAAGCTAGGCGCATTTTCACCCCAGTTGCTGGGGTATTTTCCAAATTACTGTATTTTTTTCAAATTAAGAACATTGGGAACAAATTGCAATTGTTATGACAAAAAAACTTATTAGTTTGAGGGAGAAATAATGTTTTCTTGTTCAATTTTTCGACTTGACGCATTGTACGCAATGTTTACAGTTCTCGTTAGGTAAGCGTCAGGTTATCTGCTTGAAAGTTTGTCAACAAAGCTGTTTTAAAAATAACTCTTTAATTATGGTAGTAAAGGTTGTTATTATGAGAATTAGAAATGATTAAAAACAAACTACCTAATATTAGATATCCTGTTGGAACCCGTCCAAAAGTCTGTTTTGTGTTAGGAAGTTTCCTTTACAGAGGAAATACATGTTTTAAAATTAGTCAGCACTCCATTCGGTGGGGAACTGTTATTACTCGTACGACAATCACGTTTGTCGTTACGTACGAATAATATACAACTCGTCCCGTACCACCAACTTAAATCGATCGTCGGCTTTTGCCAAAAACACGGTTTACATAATTGTTATGTCACGGTTGTATTTCTAGGACCCTCTTGTTGCGGGAGGCGGCCCTGCAGAAACGGAGGAGGGCCGCGCTGGAACTGCTGCAATGGCACAGAAAGCTACTAGAAGAAGAAAAGCGGATAACAGAATTGGAGTCCACCGCGAACACCATCATTTCCCAAATACCTAGTAACGCCCCGGACATCGCCGAAAAGTACCACTTCAAAGGCAAGCAGCTCAATCAGTTGTGGTTCAACCTGACGGGGTGCGACGAGAGGAAATTCAGCGAGCACAAGATCTACCCGATGTCGCAGATAGCGTTGGAACGGTTCTGCAAGAGCGCCAGGGACTACTCGACGAAAACGAAGCCGGCCAGCGACAGCGTTAGTGAATACAGTGTAGGTAGTATAAGTGATAACATTCCAGTCGTCCACGTCGCCAGTACCAGGCCGGAATCGGAGACGTCACGGCGTAGTTCGAATAAAAACGAATTTGAGTACGCCTCCGATTTCGACATCGAGTCGCTCCGGGACATCGTCAACGCCGGGGACATGGACGAAAGCATAAACGAGTTGATCGACAACTTCAGCAAGATCCAGGAGGACATATCTTCGCTCAGTATTAAGCAGTCGCTGAAGTCGGACGCGGATCTGGAGCCCGACGAATCGGTCAGATCCGAGAGGACCGACTCGGAGGTAGAAATTTCCGTTATCGAAACGGCGAAAACTTCGAGGGAAAAATCTTTGATAGAAACAGATCCCAAACTGATAGAAAATAAGGAAGTAAAAAAAGGTTCCGAATTGTCCGGGTCAAAATCCTCCGAAGAGAAAATCGATACCGAAACGCCGGAATCGGAGGTTGAAGAAACCAAAGAAGGTAAATACGATAAAGTGGTTGAAGAAGACGCTTTGAACGTCGAAGGAAAAAATATCTTAAACACGTCCAAGGAGATCCTCGAAGAACTTAGCCGTCTAGAAAGTCATGCCGACGATGATATATCTCCCGACGGATCTGCGTTCGAAGACATCCAGATCGTCGATAAAGCGAAGGACAATCTGAGTAAAAGCGAGGAAATTTTATCAAGGTTGAGCCAGTCAGGGGACGAACACAGTATTATTGCTTTTAGGGATGACGCGCCTTTAGAAAGCGAAGCAAAAATTTCTTCAGATGCAAACGGTACGGTTGAACCGGAAGGTATTTTCTTAAATCTGCAACCTCTTGAGGTACGAGCGACCGATAACGTTTCTTCCGCTCAAGAAACGGAAGATAGAAGCAGTTTCGATATCGATACGTCGGAAAATATTCCTATCAGCGAAAAATCACGTATAACGGAAGACAGGATAGATACTCAAAGCAAAGCCGAAGAAGACGTAGTATTAAACGGGGAAAAAATTGATCTCAATTCAGGAATTATTTCTGAACAACGAATTGAAACCGAAGGGTCTTCCGAAACAAAAGACGCTTTGGCGAAAATTTCACAGCAAGGAGCTCCTAGTGAAATCGGTGAAAATTCCAATAAAACGATTTCCGATACAGACTTGCTGCAAGACGTAACATCGAAAATAGAGAAAAAGTCGTCACGTTCGATCTCAACGGAGGAAATTTCGGCAGTTTTAGAAAGTCGCAAAGAAACAGACGCAGAAAGCGACAGTCATACAACGACAACATCGGAAGGAACAGTAACTGAGAAATCGTCCATTAAAGATATCGAATTAATAATTACGGAAGATTCTAAAGAGGGCGTAGAACACAATAGCGGATCTCCGTCCGAAACGCCTTCCTCCGAAGAAATTTCCTTGGAAAAGTCTCTCGTCGAACCCGATAAGCCAGACGAGCGCCTCGCAAAAGAAAAAATCGAAGACGTTTCCGATACCGTCCCTTCGGCGATCGAAGACACGGATAAATCGCGTACGACTCCGGTTCCCGAAAATTCCGCGACCCTTCCAAGCAAAGAGGACATCAATTCTTTCGAAGAGAAGGAGCTGGATTCCTTGTCTTCGTCCACGACGGGTTCTCAGACCGGCGCGCTCAGCGAAAGGGAGGAGAATCGGTTTTCGGAGAGGTCGACGAGCGGCTCGTCCGAAGAGAAGTTGGCGAGAAGCGGGGCGGTCGATGTGAAAAAACGTGTGTCCGAAATAATGGCCGACGCGAATCAGGCTTCGAGGGGCGACAAGAGCCCCAAATTGCAGGATTTCTATACCACGACGTACGACTTGGTGTCTCCGACGAATTCCCCCGAATTAGGTGAGTTTACTCAAAATTCAAATTTTGGTCTCTCGAGAATTTATAGCAGATTCCACCAATTGGCTACTTTGCGTCGATGATTATTAAAAAAAAAGGTTCTCGTTCCATTTTTTATATACAGGGTGTCAGAATTAATGAAAATTCTTGGCTAGTTTGAAAAAAACATTCATGGGGATACATATAAATGGTTCTCGATTAATTCACGGGTAATGTTATTATATGAATTGTAATTATATTTATTTTGAAAATAATTCGATATTTTGGCAGTGTTAGCAATAATTATGTAAGACGTGGTCGTTTATGTAGCAAGAATATATTTCTGGAAAGCCTTCATAAATGATTATAAGCCACACGACTGCCGAGCTTAGGCAACCAACATCGCACATAATGACAAACTGTTGCGTCTACGTTGGAGATAATCCGATCGTCGATTAGTTGAATAAAATGCCGTGAAAAGTTACACCAGTCACCAGTGAAACAGAATATTTTTTTTTTTAATCGTAATCTTGGTCTTATTGTTTAGACCGATCGAAATAACTCATTTAGAGGGGAACAAAAGAAAATTGTTACCTGGACTTTTATAAGTGGAAATGGTAAAGGGGCTTATAATAAATGAAAAAAAAAAAATAAATGCGTGAGCAGGGGCGGCGGAGGGTTGATTTTGAAAAGTTATGAAAAATTGTATCATTGGAATTTCCGAGAAAAATGCGAAAAACAGGTTTTTTCAACTTTTTTGTTTTTTATTTCTCATATCCGCAAAAATAATTTAATTTTGACGAAACTTGGTGAAAGTATAGTTTTCTGTGTCTTAAATAACCACAAATTTTTTTAGATAAAAAAATTAAGAGGTTTCCGATATATGCATTTTTCCGATTTAAAACAGTTTTTCTTCAAAGAAAAATTCTACTTAGAAAAATCATCGTACAGAGTTCTGCCGGTGATCATTTTTTTTCATTTTGACATATACTTTTCGGTGAAATAAAAAAATGTGTAATCACGATTCAAAAATATGCTCAAAAATGCAAAAAATGTAAAAAATGACTGGCCACAATGAATTTTTCAGTTATTGTTGATAATTTGTTTAAATTAGAAACTAGTGGCGGCTCGTGACATTAAGAATAAGTGAAGCATATTCATTGATTGACTAAAAAGGAAAAAAAAGCGCCGCAAGCGAAAATTTTTAAATTTTCAAGGTCAAACGCCTTTAAAAGAATCTGGAAATTTTTAGTTGCATTTGCAATATTACCGAAAAACCGACGTTCGCGAGAACGATTTTCATTTAAATTAAAAAAAAAAAACAGAAACCCAATTAAACACGGCATACAGAAAAGTTTTTTTAAATAAACACTTCCACACAACCACTTATACTCCAAATACCATTCATTCTGAAACTTCCGAATGTACACTTTGTCTTTTGATTTCCCCCTTTTTTCCTCGTCGAGAGAAGGCACAGGTCTCTCGCGATTTAAAAAATCTTTTTTGCTTCGAAGTGAAGTGGAATACAAACTGAATTCGTCCGCGTCACTTGCTTATGCTATACGTTGTATGGTACATACGAGGTTCACATTTGCGCTCAACAAAGGCAATTTTTTTTAGAAGGCGTTCACCATGCAACTGTTCCGTTTATTTCTGCGTATAAAACAAACAAACACGATACATTTTCAATATAGAATTATACCTAAATTATAAAATTTATATAAAATTAAAAATAATTTTAAATTGCACAACCAAACGGAAATTTTAGGTGAAGCGATGCGTCACTTGCGTCACCTGGCGAGCTGTCACTGTTAGAAACATTTAAAAACTGACATACTTCTTGGTGAAATAAAAAAATGTGTAATCACAGTTCAAAAACATGCTCAAAAATGCAAAAAATGTAATAAAAAAAATTATTTGTTTTATTTATTCACTATTCGACTTATGTTTTTAGAATACTGCACAAAAATAAAGTTTTGGGTCAAACAATGACAGTTTTTTTTTTTTTGTATTTTTTCCGTACAATTGAATGCTGTAATCAGTTTTTGTTTTTTTAAATTTAAACTAATTATCAACAATTACTGAAAAATTCATAGTTGCAAGTCATTTTTAATTTTTTTTTGCATTTTTGAGCATGTTTTTGAACTGTGACACAGATTTTTTTATTTCACCAAAAAGTATGTCAAAATGAAAAAAATTATCACTGGCAGAACTCTGTACGATGATTTTTCTAAGTAGAATTTTTCTTTGAAGAAAAACTGTTTTAAATCGGAAAAAATGCATATATCGGAAACTTCTTAATTTTTTTATCTAAACAAATTTGTGGTTATTTAAGACACAGAAAGGTATACTTTCACCCAGTTTCGTTAAAATTAAATTATTTTTGTGGAAATGAGAAATAAAAAATGAAAAATCAGAAAAAAAACTGTTTTTCGCGTTTTTCTCGGAAATTCTGAGGTTATGTTAAAAAGTGATATCTAGAAAAGTTATAGATTATTGCATGATCTACAACTTCTGTAATGGATACTTTTTTGTTTGACGTCAACTTTCGCCAGAAATCCCAATGATACAATTTTTCATAACTTTTCAACCCCCCAAATTAACCCTACGCCGCCCCTGCTCATGCATTTATTTTTTTTTAGGTTTATTATAAGCCCTTTCACTATTTCTACTTATAAAAGTCAAGGTAACAATTTTTTTTTTTCAAGTGTAATTTTAATAATTTTTAGTTTTACCAAAATTTAAATGCCAATATGATAGAAATAAAATTACTCCGAACAAATTTACTGGTCATATGGCTTGTAATCATTTACGAAAGCTGTGTAGTACGTAAAATTGCTTGGAAAAAAAAACAAAAATGACTTTTCACTCTTACAAATACTCCCCAGTGATTAATCAAAAATTGAGACCGTTGCAAAAGCAACTAAAATTTTTTTTCTTAAATGGATACGTTTTTAGGAATTTTCTTTATTAATTTGTGACTTAGATTGTATTAAGTTGGTAGTTCTAAAACCTCTTTCACAGAAAAAAAACCTATTATAATTCTTTATTGCAAATTATGATTTTAAGTACAATCAATACTGCCGTCAATGTTTCAAAAGGGAAAAAACATTAGACTTATGATGAAATTGTATCAATGAATACAAAATTTTATGTATTATATAAAAATAAATTAAGGAAAATTCCCTGCAGACAGGAGAAATAAGACGCGTCAAGAAAATTTTTGTTGATTGTTTTTCTATCTTAGGATATTTAAAAAAAAAAAAACTTTTGTTTTAAGGGTCTCCGACGGAAGAGCATAAATACATGACGGCAAAGAGTATATTCGGCACGGAAGCCGAAGAATTATTAAGAAAACAACTGGCCATCGAACAAGAGGTGGGTCCGGAAATTGATTTGCCGCGATCAATTTGTAACTTGTATTATTTATTTCAGATCAAACAAATAACGGAACAACAACAGAAAGAACAACTACCGTATCTATTCGTCAGGGAGATACCGAACAAGCCGCCTCCGCCGTACACCCCACCGTCATCCGTCCCTGCCACCAACGCAATTACGATAGTCCCCACCAGCGAAGAAATAGAAAACATCGCGAAATACTCCGCCAAAATCCTGCACAAGGCCCATCTGTCCAACAACTTGGACAACATTTCAATATCGGAAAACACCCTGAGTCTCATTTCTAAGGATATCACCAAGGAGTGTTATAAGTTCGTGTTCGATCTGTGCAAGGAAATCGCCAAAGAGCATTACAAACAGTTCGAGACAGAAGAAGGCCCCGCTTGGCTGCGGGTGAAGAAGAACGCCAGATTGGCGGTTGTAAGGCCGTTGGATGTAATCGGTTTAGAGAAGCACATGAACAAAAAACTTCAGGAGTTGTTCGGATACGAGAAGCCGGTGCGACACGAAAACGCGATAATCAAATGGAGTCGTAAGAAAAGGGACCACGTGGATGAAATTTTGGTGATGGAATCTCAGGCGGAGGAAACTCAGTGGACGAATTACGATAAAGATGAATTGCTTGTTATTAATGAAGTTACGAATGAGATTATGAATATGCTGCTCAAGGAAACCGGTGAAATTTTTAGTAAAATTTTATCTAAACAGACTCTTTAATAATCTAGTTTTATTTATTTGTACTGCTAATTTCCCGTTATTAGTATTGTTTGTAAGTATTATTTTAACTGCCATATTTGTTCTATAATTTCAATAAAAGGATTTTATATTGTTCTAGTTTCTTTATCTGTAAAGAACCAAGAATCTACTCCTTTTCAATATGGACGACTCTGTCAAGGTCACAATTATCCTTTGAAAAATGTATCCGTCTACCTGTTATACAATGCGGGAATAGTGGGAAATGGCCACTGGACCAAGTGTAACAAAAACGAAGAAGAAGAAGAAACGATTGCAAGATAACCTCAAAAAGCAGTGTTTTGATTATAAATCTATAGATTTATAAACATTTGCACTATTTGCAGCATATGGGATATAGAACTGATATGGGTAAGAAAATAAAAGGAAAGGGGGCAGAGAAAACTTTGGCGAAAACAAAATAAACTTCCCACAAAGTTGAAAAAAGAACTGCAAGCGATGAGAGGTAAACTGATATTACAGTATATATAGGTATATATTTTTTCTAATTATCTACATCATTTTAGGACCACATTGAAAATGTTGCTGCCCAAATTGAAAAAGAACAAAAGAGATTGCGAGTGGTTGATGCTGTTATAGACGCACCCTCTAGAAGAGTAAATTTTAGTTTTATACCGCATCCAAGTAATGAGCAACACATTCTGTATGGTGGTGAATATTTAAGCAGTTTTTACAATTATTAATTAATAGTATTTGTATTATTTTAGCTCTCATATTTGTTCTACTTATTTGTGGAAGAGCGAAATGGGCGGTGACTATTAGACGCCTTCATTATAGCCATCTTTCTCTATCGCGCGGATTTCTATGATTTTCTTTATCGCTCTCACGTAACGGCCGATGAACCATGGGGACTTTCCGACCCTGTATAATTTATAAGAGAGTGTTTATCTGAAGATATTTTTCGTTTAATATTTTGTTAGAATAAAAAAAAATCAGACGTGAACAGTACTGCATAATTTTTCTAAATTGCACATTCGCACCTAGTAGTTTATATCTTCGGTTTAAAACTAAAGACACTGCAGTGTATTCTGTTTAATTGTATACATTTAATAACGTTTAAAATAAAAATATATCTTTATAACACACAGATAAACTTTTTAAAAACATAAACTTAACTCTTAAATCTCTGAAAAAAAAAAATCTAAATATTTTAAACATAAAAGAATCAAACATTGTCATAGTTCACGTCGCATAGCTTTCAGGTCACATAAGTTTCCCTCATCCTACGGATCGCAACATTCAACAAAAACGTCCACTAAACAGTCATTTAAAGACTCCTCAAATTCGTAACTTTCCACAAAGTACTGATTAGGACTTTTAAATACATTTTCCACAGTGGCGTTATGTGTCGCTCTGAAGTACATCATACATGCTTCTTCATATTTCTTACTAATGACCAAATCTCTCACGTTCTTTATGTTGTACGTACTAAAACCGTCGCTTCGACATCTTTGTAATAATCTATCCAAATCCCAGTGCTTAAATGGACAGCCGTGATGTTGCCCTGGGCCCGGACATGAATTCTGAATCTCTTCGCAACTAGACGGCTCGTAATCTATCATTCCGCCAACTTTACCGTATTGGTGCTTAAATAAATACGAATATTTACGGTCAAACCACTCGGAGGACATTTTTTTGGTAAATTCGTCTTTCCAAAATTCCATAGCGTCTTGGTACGACAAGCCGATCCACTTTAGAAATATCCCGTATTGCATTTTGCAGTCGTACTTTAAATGGTGTTCGTTTCTTAACAAAGAATGAATCGTTTTCATGCAGAGCGGATAGTGTGCTGCTGCTACTTGGTCGATATTTTCCAAGTCTACTATAATATTTTTATCGCTAAACCTCTTGTAATTCGGAGAAATAAGTGGTAAGTTATTTAAAAAGTATTCGATACGGTCTTCTTTAATACCAGTTGGAAGCACTTTGTTAAGCCAAAAAAGTCGACCGCTTAAAAGTCTCCACAATTTGTTGTGAATGTGGTATATCAAATAGTTTTGAGGAAAATATGCTAAACCTTTACACAGAAAGACTTTTCTAGACGGTAATAAAGTGGGGATCTCACTGAAATTTATTTTATAGAAGATTGTAGTATCAAAATCAATTTCCTTTACTTTTGTGCACATAAGTAACTGTTCCTTTAGCAAATTTTTCTCTCTTTGACTAACAACTACACATTCAAGTTCGCTGTCTGTAAAAAATTGTTGTAACTCTTCGTCCTTCATCCTTTTATATAACATTTCAAACCACTGAAGCTCACATCTCGTGAAAAAAACTCTTAAATCTTTAGTTCGACAGTAACCTGAAAATATGTATAAATGTAGATAAAAGCTCAATTTACCACATAATAGTTACTTACATAAACTTAACATCCAGTGAGCGATATGATTGTGTCTTCTTGCTTTATTATGACCAACACTATAATTTTCATTTCTTAGTAAAATAATACTTGTAGACAGTTTTCGCTGTACTATTTGCGATTCCAAATATTCGTTCCATACAGCAGTACTAGGTTTGTAACCTAAATTTTTAGCTTCATCCATTATTTTGTAAAGTTGTAAGCGTTCTTCACATATTTGCTGTAATTCGGGCAACGAGCAACATTCTGAAGGTGGAGTCGTGTAAGTGGTCAAATTGAGTTTATAATCATCCATTCTTTAGAATATTTTCTTTATTCTTTGTAATTAACTTTTATTAAAAACGTTTAAAAATGCAAAACTACTTCTTGTGTAGGAAAAAAAAATTGTGGTATTTATTTCGGCGCGAAATATTAATATAACAACTAAGGTGCGTTCAGATTTGATTTCCGTGCAACTTTCAGTGTGCGTTCCGTAAATGATTGCTCCGAAAGTTCGAACATTTGTTAACTAACCAGTGTATTGATTTTAAATTTCAAAAAATGTTTGCTATTTTATATAAATAAATCACTTTTACTCTCTTCTGGATTCCGTTTTATTGTACCCATTTTATTTTACATTCATTATCTAATATTCTCATATATTACAATTAACAAGTATAAATAGATATACAAAATAATAATTGACAATTTTGCTCTGTTAATAGTACATCAGTTATTAAATTTCAGTTGAAATAATCCGCTAAATTTTCGGGCGTGCGCAAAATTGACAAAATGCAACATGTACACTTTTTATCCCCTCTTTTTGGGAACAAGGAAGTATACATCACATACTTCTATCCGTATACATATAATCTAGGGAACCAGAGGGTCTTTCAATTTGGCAAAAATAGTAGCTAATAGCAACTTAGAGTTACTCTGAACTGATATTAGTTGCTAATAGGTACTAATTTTGCCAAAACGAAGCCCCCAAGGTCATGTTCACTATTTCCCTAGCAGGTTGCCAACTTCTCTTAACAAAAATATTTAGTGCGTTTTACTGAATTCTACTAAAGTTAATTACGGAATGCACTCTTTAACACACGGTGCTAATACCAATATTACCAATATAAAATTTCGAGAATCGGAGTTAAAAACAAGCACTCACAAAAATTGTACGGTACCGTCCATCTCTACATGTCTATAATCTCTGATCTCTACCACAGATCATAAAAACATTATCAAGATAACCTCAAAAAGCACACAATGCGTTAAAGGTTGTGTTTAGATTACAAATATATAGATTTTTAAACATTAGAAGCATCTGGGAACCACAATTGAAATGGGAAAGAAAATAAAAGACAAAAAGAAAGGAAAGGGAGCAGAGAAAACTTTAGCGAAAACTGAAAAGAAACTTTCCAATAAGTTGAAAAAAGAACTGCAAGCCATGGGAGAGGTAAACTGTGGTACTACAGTATATAGGTATATATTTTTCTAATTATCTGCATCATTTTAGGACGACATTGAAGATATTGTTGCCCAAATTGAAAAAGAAGAACAAAAGAGACTGCAAGTGATAGAGGCTGTTATAGACGCACCCTCCAGAAGAGTAAATTTTAGTTTTATAGCACATCCAAGTAAAGAGCAACTCATTTTGTACGGTGGCGAATATTTTAATGGGAAGACGGTAAACAGTTTTTTCAATTATTAATTAATAATCGCTATTATATTACATTCATTACAGACGTTTGTCTACAACGATCTATTCTTCTACAATATCGCCAATAATAAATGGACCGTGGTTAAAGCACCAGCAGGTCCGCCACCAAGATGTGGCCATCAAATGGTCGCGACGGCAGCTAACAAGGGTCAGCTGTGGATTTTCGGTGGAGAATATGCTTCACCAACACAATCGCAGTTTTACCACTATAGAGACCTCTGGGTATATCACATAGGTTCAAAACAGTGGGAGAAAATTGCGGCGCCGAACGGACCCAGCGCTAGAAGCGGCCATAGGATGATTTTACTCAAAAAACAGTTGATCGTTTTTGGTGGTTTTCACGACAACCTCAGAGATTATAAGTATTTCAACGACGTTTACAGTTTTAACACAGAAACGTACACTTGGATGAAACTGGAAGCGGTTGGAGTACCGCCTGCTCCACGATCTGGATGTTGTATGGTAGCGTTGAATGACGGAAGGGTTCTTATTTTCGGCGGATATAGTAAGGAAAAGCTGAAAAAGGATGTCGATAAAGGGCACGTGCATACCGATGCGTTTTTATTAGCCCCAGACAGTAAGTGACAATAACAACGAATATTCCTCAGTAGTTTTATTTATTTGCATTTATTTTAGAAAATGATACGACGGGTACTAAATTCAAATGGTCCCAAATAAAAATCGGGGGCATTAATTATTCTCCTAGGTGTAGTATGAGCGTTACAACATCCATAAATAATTTATCGGCATATTGCTACGGTGGCGTCTTTGACGTTGAGGATGACGAAGAGAATATTGCCGGAAATTTCTTTAACGATTTTTACCAACTAGATTTAGAGAAGCTACTTTGGAAAAACTTGACCCTCTCTGGAAACAAGGAAGAACTTTCGAAAACAAAAAGGAGAAAGAATAAAGATACTGGTATTTATTTCAGCGATTGCAGTTCTCGCAATATTTCATTATAATTATTTGTAGACGACGGGGATGAAGATGAAGGAACGGAAATCGAGGAAATCGAAGAAAAAGTAGAATCGACGACTATCTCAGATGACGGAATTTTTAAAGTTACCGTTGGTCCGGCTTCCACTTCGGCGGGAAGTACTTCAACGTCTACCGAACTAACCACTAAAGTGTTTCAACCCTCTCCTCGAATTAATTGCGGGTTAGCTATAAAACACGGCATCTTGTATCTGTACGGGGGCATGTTTGAAGATGGCGACAAACAGATCACCTTCAACGATTTTTACTCGTTGGACCTAAAAAAGTTGGACGAATGGAAAACTTTAATCCCGAACGACACTGCTGTGATGGAATGGTTAGGCTCAGAATCTGAGGAAAGCAACGAGGAGGAAGACAGTGAAGAAGAATCTGCTTCTGACGAAATGGAAACTGACTGAAGGCATTAAATAAAAATTATAATTTAGTGTTTTATTAATTTTCGTTTATTTTTATTTATGTTTTTTCTTGACGTGCTTAGAAAGTGCCCCTTTTGTATTAAATTTCGTATCACAGTCTCCGCACTCAAACTCTTTTAAGTTATTGTGTATCCGTAAATGTTCTTCGAACCCGCTCGTCATCGTTTTGCCACAAATATTGCAGATACTCTTTTTTACTGTCCCGTCGTGGTATTTCAGGTGCGCGTCCAAATTTTTTTGCGACACGAATTTCTTCTCGCATTTGGTACAAGCGAAATTTTTTATTCCCTTGTGGTTGTTTGTATGTGCCTCCAAATACTCCTTTCTCATAAATTCTTTTTTACACGTTTGGCAGCTAAACGGTAAACTGTTACGGTGGATTTTCATGTGAAAGTTTAAATTGCTTAACGTTTTGTAGTTCCTATCGCATTTCGGGCACGGATATTTTTTCTCTGCGCTGTGCGAGATCATATGGCTCTTATAATCGGACAATTTGATAAAACCGATATTGCATATGGAGCAAATAACGGTGAATTTTTTATCGTGTTTAAGTCTAACGTGATTTTTCAGTTTTGTGGCCGAAGGAAACTTCTTGTCGCAGTCGTGTTGTTTGCATTCGAACGGTAAAATGTTCATACAATAATTTTCGTGCTCTTTTTGATTGGACCTTGTCCTAAACGTTTTATCACAGTTTGAACAATCAAAACTGAAACCGCTCGTGCATAGCTTCTTTTTATGTCGCCGACGGTGTAGTGAAAACATCATTTTACTTGAATAAATCCTCCCGCAAGAATCGCAAAGGTAACCTCCAGATCGGTGTCTCTTTATGTGATAAAGACAGTATTTCCTAAGGCACAGTATTTTGTTGCACGATTTACATTTGTACTTTGGCCATTTATTAATACGTGACGTCCGAGTGCACGATCTTTTTCCATCCTGGATCTTGTTTTCCATGCAGTTTCGTTTAAACTTTACAATGACGTCCGATTTAAGTTTCTCCAACTTCAGTTCTAAGTGATCAATGTTGTTTATATTCCCTAAACATTCACTGCACAAATAATTCCGCGTGGTAGTAATTTCCCCGATAACGTTTGCGAGTTTTTGGATGACCGGTCGTTGGGTGGACATGGTAAGTGGATTTTTCTCCTTTAAAAAATAAAACTGTGTACCCAGAGGCTTGTATGCGATGTTACAGATTAAACATTTATTTGTCGGATACGATTGTTTTTCAAGGTACTCGCTGTACTCGACAATTTCTTCATCGGAGTCCTCTACGACGATATCACTGTCTTCGTTCGAACCCTCCGTCTGTTGGTCAATAGGATTTATTAAAGATGTGGTACTTGTATTAAAACAGTGAATGTTTTGAGTAAACGACTGGTTTTCGACATGTTTGTTATCGTAATAGTTGTAATAATCAGGTATTGCTTCATTTGCCACATTTCTGTTTAGTATTCTACAATGTAAGTTACAATTTTCATGAAACATAGCATCGTAGCTGCAGTTTCCGGTCACGTAATCAATACTTTGATTCCTGTGTGTTTCTCGTGCACAAGAACTTTTTTCACTACAATTATCTTGACCGTAATACCACTCGTTTCCAAATTTATTGAAACTGCGCATATCTTTGTTCGCGTTTTGTTTACACAAATCCGAAGTGATCAAATCTACGTTGTTACAGTAAGTCACGGGAATCAAGTCTTTATTGAAAACTTCAATTGCCTTATCAGATTTAAAAGCCTTCTCGACATCAGAAATGATTCTATCTTCCCAGACGAGTACGTCACGCTGTTCTTGTTGCACAAAAACGGATCTGTGGCTGCTCCGCTGACAACTATAGTTTTGGAAGGACGCATCCATAAAATTTGTAGCTTGAGATGTGTTTGAACTGTTCGATGAGAAATTTGAACAGGAATACCACGTAGCCTCGTTTGCAGCTTGCTTTAAACCTTGTCGAGGTTTGTAGGATGCATAATTTTCGGTGTACAATTTATCATTCATTTTGGGTCACTGAAAATAGTAAATTCATTAATACTTTTAAAATATTATGAAATTATATGCACCTCTGTCTGGTATACAGGGCCCGAGAACTTATACTTGAAAATATGGGGACATTGGGAACCACGTGACTTGAGATGGATATACAAGTTGGGGAAAGAGTCTATAGATGTCGCCACAAAGATTTTGTAGAATAAATTTTGACAATTCCAATTATGAATCATTTCATGTCATTCTTGATCATGTTTATTGTTTATTGTTGGTTAGGTTTGGCGAGTGTTGGTGTGTGTTTTATTTGTGTTTTTAGTGTGTTTTATTAGATATTTCATTCACATTTATTTATATAACATAATAATGTCTGATCATCATATAATCACATTTTTTTATTAATCAGAAAATGTTGTTTTTTTGTTTTTTTTTTTTAATAAAAAATGTGATCAGAGGTAGGTAGTTTTTTTATGGATATCAACACAACGACAAATTTAAAGTTGCATAATAAATCTCTATTACAAGAATTAATCAAAGATTGGTTTAGTAAAATTATTTACTTGTAATATTTTTTTATTCACCGTGAAAGCTAATACAATATAGGAAGCACTGAAACTCTATAATCATTTTCTTTTTTTTTTTCAAAATATGTACTGAAATTTGAAATTTTTTTAACATTTTAAAAAGTTACAGTATCAAAATTATTTCTTATTTTAAGTAGGAAGACTATTAGAGCATTTAAAAGTGTCTTTAATGCTTGAGTGATTTTAATGCTTTTTATCAAATGTACTTATTTTCTCATGGTGACAAAAAAAATTATCTACGTGAAAATTATTTTACAAAATCAATTTCTGAGTGATCTGTGTAGGGTGAGATTTGTTATGTAATTTTAAATTTAGCGGCGACAGAATACCTAAAACAAATATTGAGTAGGTAGGTATATAGTTGTAGAGCGTACAACTAGATGGCGCTTGCATCTTTTACTGGCTAAAGGTAATTTAACTCACTGTATTACCGATAGTTCCTAGAAAAGGAAAGCAATAGAAGTTGGAGAAAGTGTCAACAGTTAGCGCTGTTAATGACCACGAAATCTGTTCAAGTTTCCTATCTATAGTATCATTTATCTAGGCTGGTATACAAACAAATTGGAACGATTTTTTTTCCATTTCAACTGCATTGTTGCCGCATTGTTTCTGTGATCTGTGGTTGCCACATACGATAAAATAAAAGTTCAATATATCTTGGAGCATGAAACAGAAACGTTTCTAGTTAATGTGTCAAATGTTTAGTAAAACATCTCATTTGCAACGTTTCATTTACGTTTCGTGTTTAGTGGGTCATTATTCACCGTGTCTTTAACATCTTTGTAGTTCAAAGTCTCCTGATAATTTTTTTTTTATGTGAATTCATTGAATAAAATCATATTTTCATATAAATTTGGAGAGGTTGAGAAAGTATTTTTCCGCTCTTGATATTTAATAAGAGATAAGACTCCTAATACCAAAATCTTATTTTTGAATGAAAATATACCGAGTAAAATCATATTTTCATATAAATGTTTCAAAAGCTTTATTCAAATATTTAACATCTTAATTACTTAAATGAATGTGAAATGTGGAGTTGGTATTGTTTGAAAAATTAATACTTCGGTTTTTTAAAAAACAGATGAAATGCTGTTCAAATTAATAATTTGACATTTTCTGAAGATATGCAAGCACAACTCGATCATCTGTATTTGTTACCTTTTGCTGTTCCATCCATTGATGAACTTGTATTCTGCTTTACTATTTAAGTAATCAATATTAGAAGTCATTTTTAAACAATATACAACTAGTAATAACTGTGGTGATAGCAATTAATCTTATGTGCCAATACAGTTACAAATTAATTTTTGTTTTCCGTTTTCATGACAACGAAAGGTATACTGATATTTAGTTCGCTCAAATTAGTTTATGTAAGGTTGGTACTACAAGGAAACTACCATGTATAATATAAGCATAGGCTTTCTTCCCGCACCGTCTGCCCCGCAAGGGATGTATGGAACCTAGATAAATGATACTATAGATAGGAAACTTGAACAGATTTCGTGGTTATTAACAGCGCTAACTGTTGACACTTTCTCCAACTTCTATTGCTTTCCTTTTCTAGGAGTTATCGGCAATACAGTGAGTTAAATTACCTGTAGCCGGTAAAAGATGCTACCGCCATCTAGTTGTACGCTCTACAACTGTATACCTACCTATTCAATATTTGTTTTAGGTATTCTGCCGCCGCTAAATTTAAAATTACATAACAAATCTCACCCTACACAGATCACTCAGAAATTGATTTTGTAAAATAATTTTCACGTAGATAATTTTTTTTGTCACCATGAGAAAATAAGTACATTTGATAAAAAGCATTAAAATCACTCAAGCATTAAAGACACTTTTAAATGCTCTAATAGTCTTCCTACTTAAAATAAGAAATAATTTTGATACGTTTGTTGAAAAAATTTCAAATTTAAGTACATATTTTGAAAAAAAAGAGTGGAAATGATTATAAAGTTTCAGTGCTTCCTATATTGTATTATCTTTCACGGTGAATAAAAAAATATTAGAAGTAAATAATTTTACTAAACCAATCTTTGATTAATTCTTGTAATAGAGATTTATTATGAACTTTAAATTTTTCGTTGTGTTGATATCCATAAAAAAAACTACCTACCTCTGATCACATTTTTTATTAAAAAAAAAACAAAAAAACAAAAAATTTTATTATTAATAAAAAAATATGATTATATGATGATCAGACATTATTATGTTATATAAATAAATGTGAATGAAATATCTAATAAAACACACTAAAAACACAAATAAAACACACACCAACACTCGCCAAACCTAACCAACAATAAACAGAACAACAGAACAACATGAATGACATGAAATGATTCATAATTGCAATTGTCAAAATTTATTCTACTGAATCTTTGTGGCGACATCTGTAGACTCTTTCCCCAACTTGTATATCCATCTCAAGTCACGTGGTTCTCAGTTTCCCCATATTTTCAGGAGCGGCTAAATATGCGACAGCGCTCCCGTTGAACTGCGCATGCGTCTGTACAGATATATGCCGTTTACTTAACCTTTAAATACTTACCTACCAATATTTTTGAACTTTGTTATATTAACAACCTTTTTTAGTGAAAATTTAAACATGTCGGTTAAATGTGAAATGTGTGGTTTGATATTTACACAACAGAAAAATTTAAATAGACATTATAAAAATGTGCACAACGCGACTAGTATATTATCTAACAATTTTGAAACATTCATAAATAAATGTCTTGATGGGTGTAATTGTTCCTTTAAATATTTAAAGGAGTTACGTGAACATTTGAAAATCAGTCACAATTTTGAAATAATTCAGGAAATTCATACCTTCGAGAGTTTCCAAGGTAGGTAATCTTTTGTTTCTGCAAGTGTAGGTATATTTAAACAGATATTTTTTTTATAGATTTTAACGTGTGGCTGAATGATATCAACAAAGACTATAATTCTCAATATTCTCTGAAGAAAAAGGCAACAAATGAAGCAGAAGGATCTACAACTTATTATTATTATTGCAATCGTAGTGGTAAATTATATTTACTAAGTGTCTGACAATGTAAAATAGAAAATACACAGTGTGGCAATAACTCGCATATCTACTTATACAACTCGTACACGACGTTACCACCTTGTAATTTATTGTATAATATTTTATAGGTATATAATTTTACATTGTCTTCACCTTAAATTTGATACTTATTTTATTTTTAGGCATTTACTTACCTAAGAGAGCAATTTTCTTGTAAATAAATTATGTGTATGTCGTAGCATTATGTAAGATTATATAATAATTGTAAGATAAGTTGAAATATATGTCATCATAGAAGAATATATTTTTTGTTTAATTCCTTATTTTTTACCTACCTACCACAGCCAGAAAACAACAGAATTGTTTGATTTTTGCTTAACTGTACATATTATATTTTTTTTCTAATTTTGTTTACATAAAAAAAAAATTAAGTAAGTATACATGAAAATAGAAAACAAAAGTGTTACTCAAATGTTATCCATCATCTTTTAACATTTCATGTCACTAATTTGCTTTATTTTAACATTTCTATAAGCAAGTACTGTAAGCAAGACTTGAGAAATCAACATTATTTTTGTCTTTTTGGAAGTATGTACTTCTGAAACTAATAAAAACAATTTACAAATTTACAAACATTGTACTAATGTTTGCATTTTGGCAACTCATTTATTTCTGTCACAAGTAATTCAAACCAGCGCATGCGCAGCTCGGCAGGAGCGCCGTCGGATATTTAGCCGCTCCTATATTTTCAAGGATAAGTTCTCGGGCCCTGGTATGGAATCTCTTTAATATCCACTTATATTTACTTTAATATACTATTAAAGCCCCTCTTAATAATTTTTCACGACCGCCATCTACCGGTCAGAAGCTATAATAAACCACTTCGTACTTCTTAAAATTATAGGAATCTAATATGTTCAATGGATTATATTAACTTCTCAATGGATAGATGGCGCCACCTACTACAAAATAATCTCGCGCGAAAGTTTAAAGAAATTGACGACACAAATACAAAATTTTAATGAATTCTTTATTAAGAAAAATGTTACATGCAGTTATATTCTTATTACAACACCTAAATGTACATTAACTATTTTAAATTAAGTAACTTTCTGTATTCATCGACTTCCTTGAGCGTTTCAGAGATTTTCTTTGTCCTGTAACAAAAAAAAAACATATTATACCGTTAAACGTCGATATTATCGAAAAAAAGGGTGAACAACAAAGTTACTTCTGCCAAATGTCACTGTCATTCATCAACGTTCTTTGACGTTTCGCTTTCGTGTTGTTCGTCTCGTCTGGCTGAAAGGATAAGTTTGACGAGAGCAGCGAAATGTAAAAGATACATTCAACAAAATTGTGGAAGTAACTTTGTCGGTACAATAAAAATTCCTAAAAACATACTGAATGACTAAAAATAATAAACTATTTTTTTTATCGCATTAATTGCGAACGCCCACCGGGTCAGCGTTCAGGCGCACAGCAGGTAGGCGGAGCGCTTGTTCAGGTAGTCTAGTCACTTATTAAGCAAGAAAAGAACAGATGCAAACTCTACGAGGATGATGTCTCGGCCCGTGAGGTCCTCCGCGGTCCTCATAAAGAACAAGTCGCCTACACCCGAAAAAATTCATTCCGTGTCCCTTTGCTGCCAAACGAATAAAAACAAGTCAAGAAATATTTCCTACCTTCGCCTTTTTCTTGATTTGCGTAACGAACGGCATGACACTGTGCGGCCCTCGTTTGAAAAGCGACTCGTGCGAGAACCTCTTCAATGGCGGCCTGTGGAAATTCCTCAAGCGCACCGGGCCCGTGTGGCTCTGTACGAATGACACCCTCAGCTCCATGACGGGAGTGGAATGCTGGATAAGGTTGACGACGCCCACTTTAAGCCTGAAAGTCGTTCCGGAGGCGCGTCGCTGGTAATAGCTACCAAAAGAAAATTTCTCAATTATTTTTTATCTTATTTTTATCAAACTTCGAACTTGAACTCGGAATTTCAAATTCAAATCCAAAATTCGGAATTTCAAGTATGAATCCAAACTTCAAATAAGAAATTTTTATACACAGAGCGCAAATGGCTCCATCTATTGCGCTACTTCCCAACTACTCCAATCTCATGGCTACTACTATTGTATAAGTAAATAGAAAGCGACCTGCTAAAATTCGCCAACTGGGCGAAAACAAAATGTTTTAAATTGCCAGTGTTGCGAGAAACAGCTATTCTGCTATACTCGTAACACCTAATATAACAGCTAGGATTGTTCGTAAGTTTAACCCACCAGATACAGACTGGTTTCGGACTTATTGGTCCTCATCAGTATGTCGAAATTTCGAAAAAAATTTTTAATTCCAGATTGAAATGTTGACCTCAACTAAATTTTTTGTTGCGACTAAATTTTGAGTTTAATTAGTTAAAATTTCCAAAGCTCAAAATTTCGAGTTTGAACACAAAATTTCGTGTTGAATGTTAAAAAAAATTTGATACAGTACAAAATTTTGAGCTCGTAAATCAATATTAATGCAATAACGAAATATATGTTAAAAAAATCTTGTTCTGTGCACTACGGCATAGTGTAAAAAAAAATTTATGCCCATTTCTACTTACATATTGTTTGAAATGTTGGACGGATCCCGATCTGGAGATTTCGGGGGTGCAGGCGGGCGTCTTCTTGTAAAACGTTAACAATCCCTGCTTTATCCAACAACATCTTGGATTTCTTCAAGTGAGACGAATTTATTTTTAATATCTTCTTGGTACTTGTTTTCTCATCGTACGGATCCAACGTAAGGATGGAAGGTTTCCGAATAGACTTCATATCCTCCGCGTCCCATATCACGTCGTCTCCTCACCTGTCGTACATCAACCACGGGGAAAATCGAGTTCCAAAAGTCGCCATCCGAGTAGTCCGGCCTCGGCTTATTCGATTTTTAAATTAATGAAATAAAAAAAAAATTAAAACCTATTACTGTACAAACATACAGTTTCGCTTACAATTGCGTCTTCGACTTCATGCTGGGGCTTGGCATCCCGCGGCATCCGTACCATCCCAAACTATCATTTCTGGGTTTTTTATGAGTTTCTTGCCACAATGGAAAATATGGTCATTAATTTCTTATAATACGCCTCATACTATGTATTATTTCTTCAGGAAACTTAAAGAGTTGTTTATTTTCATAATTTTTGTCGAGATAATTGACGTTTGTCTGTGATTGTGGAAAAGCGATCGTTGAAATTGCCGTTGTAGCACCGATTTTAAATGAAAGTCGTTAATATATTAATACCTTTTACTGAAAGAAATTATAAGTAATATATCTTCAAAAATTTAACAATTAAAGAATTAAGTTTGGACACCAAAGAGACCATCCTACTTTAAAATTACACAAAATATGTTATTAAGGAATACAAAAACTTAGCTATTCGCTATTCTTAATTTTCCGCATTGTACTTGTCGATTAGCTGTTGAATAATCCTGTAGTAGTTTACGTTAAGGTGGCGGTTGGCGTCAAAAACGTAATTATAGGCGTTTAAAAGGGACTTGCGTCTGTGACAATCTAACTTATTCTGCTTCGGCTCCGAGAGATATTTCCTTATAAAACCAATGTGCGCTTTGCCATCCTTAAGCTGATGTACCCCGAAAATGTACATGTTCAATATACGGTACCAGAAACACTTTTCCTTGACGACTCCGCAGTCCAAAACCTTCTTACTCTGCGATAACCTATCGTACTTAAACAGCTTCTTTCTCAGATATTTAGGGTCGCTTTTACCCACCACATTCTCAAGTTGATCTAATTCTTTGCTTAAAAACTGTTTCACTACGTGAGGAGGCGTCGACATTATAATCTGCCGAACTCTTCTTTGGTCGTTTCTCAGCAACTCGTCGGCGCCGTGTTTTATCATGTGCGGGTGAATAACTCTGCCGCTCTCGCTTTCGTAAGAACCGACGAAGTTTATATTGGTGCCATTATTCATGTAAGCCGACATCATTTGGTCTAGGACCACATTTTTGGGAGAGTCCCTGTCTTGTCTGACCAGGACCGAGAATGGATTTAGAACTTTCGTCGAACTGGGATTACAATTTATATCGCCCGCTGGTACTACGGTTTGAATTTGACCTATCGGTGCGGGAACCGGAAAAATCGAGTTTAAATACGGAATTTGGTGCATTAACGGAGGAATAAAAACTGGGGTGCTGTAAGGAATAGTGTGCGAGGTAGAGGGAACACCGGAGAAAGCGGGCACGTTTCTGTAAAAGTGGTGTTGCTCCTGAATATTCAATATTGGCTGGGGAGGCGGTGAAGGTGTGGTATTCCGCAGCCGATTTCTACCTGCTTGGTGTAAAACATCCTCATAACTGATAATACGTGGGTTACTCGGGGGGTATTCCCTGTTGTAATAGTTGCACTCGTGTTCGAGGTGGCCTTGCTTGGCGCAACCCGAGCACCACAACTGATCCTTGGGCTTTAACTGCGGTTCTTGTGAAACCACTATCGGCCCCTCTTGAGTCTGAAATATGTCCGTAAAGTAAGTCTTTTTAAAATTTTTTAGGAAAAAAAAGCAAATATCAAATATCACGTGTCCCAAAATACATGCAAGATTTGAAATTTTGCCCCATTTGTGAGGCAAAGCGCTGCTGACGAAAAAAAAATAATAAAACGTACCGTTAAGTGATATCGCCTCCACAAATCCGGACAAATCTTAGCTATGTGACCTTTCATGCTGCAGATTCGGCAAAACAGGTTTCTAAACCTGATGCACTTCCAACAGTACGTCGTGGAATAGTCCCCTTCGTTGCCGCACTAAGAGAAAAGACTGTTACGATTTTGTGTAATACGAAATGTTGGACGTCTTACTTGAGTACACCGTTTATTGGGACATCTCGGTTCTTGGTGGTCTGAAAAGCCACAGAGGGTACAACTGGGAGGGTCGGGCTTCTCGGTACACCTCACCGCTACGTGCCCGAATTGCCTGCACCTGTTGCAACGCGGTCCCTTACTGCCGCTCGGATTCAAGAACATTAGCTGGTCGCTGGGTGAAATCTTCCAAGCCTCTGGATCGTCTAAAAACTTAACTTTGTACCGAAGATACAACCGAAGGATATTTTTTTTTTACCTGATTGAGTGCTTTGAACCTGGGCGACGTCGAATTTGCTGTAATCCTCACAAATATTGTTATTCTTAAAGTAACGGCTGGTGGGGCGATTTTTATCGCAGTGTTCGCCGCGATTAACCGAACAGTTAGCCAGTTGCAAATCTTGCCCTACGTTTTCCAATTCTGTGAAATCGTATTCCGAATCGGACGACTCCACAATTTCGATACAAGCTTCCGCGACTGCAACGGGTTTGTGAGAAATCACCTCGTCAACAACTATAATTTCTTCATCACTTTCGTTCCCTTCTGCAATTGATACCGACGCCGAAATTAAGGAAGTGGTGGTGCGTGTTTCTAGAGAACCTACTCGAATATTTTGAGTTTCGTGTTTTGTCATTGTTTCGTCAGAATCGGTTTGTTTTTTAGAAAGAACCTGTTTTTCTTTTACTTGCGAGTGCTCGGACACTACACCCGAAGGACTGGCAGCGTTTTTATTATTATCTGCAGCGAAACTATTTTTTTTATTAGAAGGTTCACTTTCTATGTTTGTGTTATCTATATCAGAAACTTCTACACACGATCTATTTAATTCGCTCATACTTGTATCGTTTACAGGATTCTCGGAAGACAAGCTTTTCTTCTTTTTCCTTTTTATGCTTTCTAGAGTAATTTCACCTAAACTAACCGTTGGGCCAGTGTCTATTTCATCTTTATTGCAACTTTTCTTTTTTTTCTTACGGGATGCACTTGCGTCTTCATTAATTAATTCGAAACTGTCTCTATTTGTACCAATTGTACGATTAGAGGCATTGCTCTTTTCTTTCATGGACTTTTCTTTATCAGGGACTTTTTCCGCTGAATTTTTACTTCTTTTCTTTCCTGGCTTCCCAAAAACGTTTGAATCTACAATTTCTTCACTATTCGAATTTTTATCACCACTAACATCACTATTAATTTCAGAATTTGCACTATCCACCTCTATATCGATATTTTTATCCAACTGCCCCATAGAATTCCTTTTTTTGGCGGACGCTTTCTTCTTTCTCTTTGCTAATTTCATTGTTAAGTCTGGTTCTTCACCATTATCGCTAACTGATTCCACAGTTTCAGATACGTTAGATTTTCTTTTACCAGAATCTTTTTTGGCATCATCATAGGCATTCTTTATCGGTTTTCTTTTACTTAATTTTAGATTCGTAGTACCCACGATTCCACACTGCATGGGCGACAACGTAGGTAACTTTTTACTACACTCTTCGTCTCCTACCCTTGCACTGTTAATTATAACACCGGAAGATTCATAATCACTTTCAGAGCTGCTCGATGACGAAGCGTTATTATCGATAACAAGTCTTGGTGATTTTGACGATACTTTCGACTTTTTCAAAGCACTTCTTTTAGGGGTTATGTAAGTACTAAAACCCTCCAAGTTTTTGTCCGAAAATATATCCTCCTTAGGAAAATCAACTTCATTAAACACTATCGTCTTCACGGAACTATTTTCTTTGTTGAAATCGTTGGTACTGCAGCTGCTTTCCGTTTCGCAATAATCTACCGGATTTGCCGGTCGAACGAAATCACCCGTGCTAGTGAAATCAGAACCGTGCAAACTGAAGTTAAATTTGTTTATACCAGTTTCAACACTTGAAGCGTCTAAGAAATCATTGCACGTGCAGGATTCTGGAATATTTATTACCTCAATTTGACCACCTGACTGGCAATTTGAATTATTCAACGAGTCTATCGGATCTGTTAACGAATCGTGTATGGTAGTAGACCCAATAGCTTTAGAAACTTCAGGAATAATTTCTTCTTCATTATCGACATCTACGTTTATAACCTCCGTTGGAGGTGGCGGAACGTAAATAATATCGTCGTCAGATTCAGATCCTAGATTTTCTAACATATTAGAATCCTTCGATTTCTCTACAAAATTATTAGTTTTTTTACACATTTCGTTGGCAACTACACATTCACCGTCAGAATCATCAGAAATGTATACGATATGGGTCGCTTCAGTTCTTTGAGCGATTCTGGCTTTGCTGTGTATATTCTCATTCCTCTTCTCCCTATTTTTTCGTCTTCTAATTCCTGACCTCCTTTGCTTTCTCCTATTCTTTCTATCCAAGTATTTTTTATTCTTTACAGTCCAAGGAATAAAAAATGTTCCAGGGGTTAACGTCTCATTTAGCTCAGGATTTATAAGTAATGGTACGGTATACTGATTAACAGTAATATTGTTTTGGAACTGCCTGCTCAAATTTCCTTGAGTGGTTATATCAGTAGAATTACGGTTAACTGATATGCTGTTGTGAACCGAAGAACAAGTTTTGTCATAATTATTTCTGCTTTCTTCTTCAAACGGAATAAACACTGACTTAGAAAAATAGCGGTTATTATTACGTGTTTCGCCACCATGAGCAGTGCAAGTTATAATTGATTCAGAAGGTATATTCTCTTCATTTTCGGTACTAGAGTGGTAAACTTGACTGTACAGTCTACATTCTATATCTTCCAGATCTACATCATCGTAATACTAAAAAAAAAGTTTTACTTAATAGGTTATATAAAAAAAATTAAATTAGTAATTTACCATTATTTAAAGTCTATGCAAAAATTGGAATATTTGAAGTTGCAACAATTTATGTCGAGTTTAATATAATTACAATTCTTAGAGGTTATCCAACAATGAAAAATTTCTTAAAATTTGTCAACTTCTTTATCGTCAAAACATCGAAAAAATAAAATAGAAGAAAAAGAAACCAGCAAGACATCCAAATAAATTCTAAAGTCCCTAGATTGCCCTCTAGGGACTTTAATAAAGTCGATTGTTGCCAGGTCAGCTTATGGATGCGTTCCGTAATTGGCTTCAGTAGAATTTTAGTAACATCCACTAAATATTTTTGTTGAGTAGTTGGCAACCTGCTATGGAAATCAGTGAACAGAACTAGTGAAAAATTAACACACAATATTTTGATTTTGCATCAGTTGTTCTGTCAGCAGGGTTAGTTAACAAATTTCAAACTTTCGGAGCAATCATTTACTACTAGTTTTCCAGTTTATTTATGGCAAGGCCGCCAATATCTCAACAAAAATTTTAGTGCTTTTTACTGAACTGAATTACGGAACGCACACCCAATAAACAAAATATATCAACCGTTTCTGCCAACAGTCACAAAAAGGAATACCAACATTTCAACTTAAAAAGTAGCTATGGCTGTTTGTTTACTTTTTGTCGGTTTTTAAACACGATAATAATTCAAGTAGAACAGAAAAATGGTGATTGTTAATTCATTCCACCACCCGGAATCAAATATTCGCTGCGAACAAAGAAATGTACGTGCCATACTGGACAAAAAGGACCTAGGATTAGGAACGTTATTTGTCAGTGAAAGGTAAAACAACATTGATTTGTTAGCTTCATCTAAAGCCTCAATTTTTCAGCGCACTGTGCTGGCAGCAAAAAGATGATATTGGTTTCTCAATTAGTTATCAAGATATTTCGCTTCATGCTATATCTAAAGACGCCAATGTTTACACAAAGGAATGCTTGTATATTATAATTGATTCGCACGTTCATATGCCAGGTGAGTTCATGTACAATCGTTTTGTCAGTCGTTCACCTGTATTTACGAACTAGGAGACTCATCGCCTCAAAATAGGGAGAATACCGAAGATAGTGATGCTGAATCGGAACCAGACCTGTCGGAATTGTTGTTAGTTCCCGAGGAGGATAGCACCAATACAATACCGATTATTTACGAAGCTCTCAAACTGTGTCAGGTACTCGTATACTAATTTAAAAATTGTTTTGTGTCAAAAGTTGTAACTTATAGGAATTAAATCCCGATCCGGACGACATGGACGACGAAGAAGACGATAATATCTTTGTAGACGCCGAAGACGACATGGATGAAGGGGAATATGAAATCACAGAGAGAGGTGGAGGAGACGCAGGTAATTTCCGTGATATATATATACTATTATTCAATTTCAGACTTAATTTTTTTAGACGTAGACGAATTATCCAGAAGGCTACAAGGGAATTCCGTGGATATCCAGTACAATTACGGTAATGGGAACGATGACGAAGAATTCCAGGATGCTGATTGAGGCTTTCACTTTATGAACTTATATGTATTCTGCAATTTCGTGTAATAATACAGTTTTGTAACTACCCGCTGAACAATTTTTTGTGTATTGGTCTTATTTCTATTGTTATAAAATAAACGATAATCAAACAATTACGTTCTGTTGATTTTAAATAGTAAGTACATTTTAGCCAACTTTATTTTATACCAGGGTCAAACTAGAATTTAAAAAATGAAATCAAAACGTTAAACTTGAGTCAAACATAATAATTTGTCAAATTTTTGGAATTTATTTGCAATAAAACAAAAAGAAAATATCGTTTTCAATTTTCTAAATTATAAAAAAATCTTTATTTCAAAGGAAGTTCGTAAATATAAAAAGATATTTTATGGTACTTACTTAATCAGCCAGTTTGACAGCCAATCGGTGCTAGACATTAAATTGTGAACAGTTTAAATTTAAGCAGAATCCGACCCTGTTCTGTACGCTTACGAAGGGCAACGGAAGCTAGCGTCCGCTGTTCAATTCCATACTGCCGCCTCTAAAAAGCTGCTACTGCCAGTTGACGTCACACCTGGTATGATACGAGGGGATGGTAAACAGGTAAAAAAACAAACTGCCACGTTAATTCAGTGAAACGGGAGTGGCCGAATACGTCATCAACGCTTCATTTTATATTTTTATTTTAGTGCGAGAAGTGTATTTGCATAGAGTAAGCGTATAACCTTATTTATTTCAACTTGTAATGACGATACAGTGTAATTTTGTGTTCGTTTTCAAGTTTCTGCGACACGTACTGAAAACATTGAATCAAGAAAGAGTTAACACGATCGGAGCCTACTTTTTGTCAGGAGAAAACGATGTTGTTGCAAGAAATCGATAATATGCTTAATTTTCAGTTTATTTGTACAATCTAAATTGCTTGTTGCACCTACATAATTCATTCCAATCAAAAATTACTCATATACATTACTCAAATTACCCTACGAATTCCGTTCCGTTTACGACAACCGTCCTCCGTCAAGCATTTTAGCAATCTCCGTACGCCTCGAGCAGAATTATTTTAAAACGTAAACCTGTGAGCTGGCCGTGCCTATCGCTATCGAACTCTTTTAGGCCCAAAAATGAGATCCGCATCGGGCGCTCCCTTCGGATGTTGGTACTTCTTCCTTTCCCTATTCAAGTTCTGCGTCACCGGCCTGTTCTGTTGCTGCATCATTTCCTGGTAGTCTTCTTCCTCGAACCTCTCCGTTATGTTCAACGTCAAACGTTTAACTTTCTCCTTTTCCTCCTTCTGGGCCAACTCCTGATCCCTGAGGTTCTGCGCCAGTTCGGAATCGATGTCCGCCTCGAACTGTTTGTATTGCTGCTTGTTGCCCTTCCGTACCATCAGGACGAACCCGATCTTGCCCGGCTCGTTCTTATTCGTCGTCTCCTGAAAGTGATTATAGAAACAATACGTTATTTACGGTTTCGTTCGCTTACTTGTAGCTGTTCGTAGGTTTTCTTCACGTTGGATTTTACTACTACGGGCACGGAAATGTCGACGTTTCCAGCTTTCACGGGCTCCCTCATTCGCTCCTGTATGTTTTCCGACACCATCTTGTCCAGAGCGTTTAGGAAATCCGCGTCTTCCGGGCATTCCATTTTCTTCGGCCCCTTCGGTATTGCCAGCGATTCGGATACGGGGTCTTGTTCCGCCTCGCTGGTCATTTGTTCACCTGCATTATCATAGAAAATAAGCAATCTGATGTAAAATACGTTAACAAATGTATGGGGCGCGCTAATTCGGACAGTTTAGTAGTTTTTTTTTTAAATTAAATTGAAATTCAGTCGCCGTTTTTAAAACAGAACAAGTTAAAAATCACCTTCATCCTCGGAACCTTGCGTGTGATCGACAGTCTCGTCCTCGGTAGCGGTGTCGTCCGTGATTGGTCCAGTAACGCCTTCCGACATCTCGTCTTCTCCGACCTCCTCGTTATCCATTTCCGTTATTGTGTCTAGACCGTCCTCGTTCGTCACTTTGTTGTCCATTTCCAAAAGTTTCTCTTAATAAAGGAAATAAAAGCGTTCATTAATGATTACAAGTGGCGAGACCGCCGAGTGTAGGCAACCAACATTGCGCGATTGGCACCATCAACTAAAAATCGCGAAAGAAATAAAATTACCGGCCACGTGGCTTGTGATCATTTACTGCGACTCCGCATAAATCGCACTGCGAGACACAAACACTTCGCCTTTAACTTACCTACGCCCAGTAACGTCCGGATATTATTGAGTTCCTCGAGGGCCTCTTCGTAGCTTTGGCACAGCTTCAATTTGGGCCTGAGCGTGGTAAGCGTGTCTTTGAATATGTGATCCAGGTTGGGCGGGAACGCCTCCTTCCACAACTCCTTTTTGTACCAATAGTAAGCCTGGAGAAATACCAGGTAATAGTCCAGTTTTCGTTTGCTGCTTCCGCTGCTGAAGTACGTCCCTGTGTAGAAAAAGTGAACGTTACGCGTACAACTCAATTCGGGCACTGCCCAGTGACGGCGTAGACGAGAGTCCGGTATAAAACAAACTATAATACATACCGCAAGTTTCCAATAAGACACACGCAAGCTTGATCCTGAAGAGATGATTTGGCGGGTCCAAGGGAGACGATTCGTTGGGGTCCATTGAAATGCCGAACGATATTAGGGAATATAACACCTGAAAATACGTCAAATCACGGCAAATCCGTTCTTTACTCGACAGATTTTTGTACCTTAAACACGTCGGCGCTCTCGACCATCCTGTAATTGTACAACTCCCCTAAATATTTCACTTGCGCGACTCTCCTTTGGTTGAATTTTGGGAGGTTGACCTCCATGCCTAATCGGATGTCTTCCAGGACGCCATCTACAACCTTAGTGCCCACCTCTTCCTGGTAAGCCACCAGACCGGCCAACAAATTCGCTAAACACCTGAGGAGCATGTTTTCGTTCATTACCGCGAGAAAAAAATCATTTGGAAAGATGTCGCTGTTGCCATATCGTGTTGACAAAATTCTACATATAATTCTTGCATAAAAAAAACAAAAAAGAAGCTCAAATGGACCTGGGTGTGCAAACGTTTTGCTTTTGAGAGAAAAAAATATGACTTTTTATACAGGACGTTCAAAAACTATAAATAAAAAAACAATCTGTACTTTTTAAATGGATTTGAAAACAATGGAACAAAAAAGTTTCTTCGTTAACATTAAATGTGTAAGAAAATTGTATTTTAGAGATAAAAATCCAAAAAGCTCACCTTATGTTGAAATATTTCAGATTGTGGGCACCCGTCAGACACTTTATCGCGTACGTGGATATCTCCTGACCGCTCCAGTCCAGTTTTCTCACGAGCCTCATGATTTTATCCGTGTTATTCTTCTGCAGATCCTGATACAACAGTTTCCTGATAAACTGGTGCATGACGGGTCTCTCTTTTTTCGTGATAGTCACCACTTCCGGCGGGTTAACGTAATAATACGCGTTCTCGATTTGGGTAACGTACCTCGAGTCTAAAGCCATCACAGACTTTTTCCTCATCATCTGTTCCAAGTAGACCTTCGTCCTTTGGTGGGAATCCGGACTGGAAATGAAATTTTCGAAATTTTACGAGTCGTTAATTTACTTAACGGGAAACATACCTGCAATACAGAAACCTCCCGCAAACTTCTAACAGGTTGCATGCCATTTCTATGTGGTGGTGGGAAAAATCGTGCAGTAAAACTTTCAAGCAGTAGAGAGCCTCGATCTTCGAATAAAGCTTGAATTTGACGAGCTCTCCGATGAACCGAACTACCTTTATTTTCGATTCGATATTAATCTGGTCCTTTTTCCTGACGTGGTACTTGAAATCCTGACGTAACATTTGACACAATTCGTTACCGACTTCCGGCAGAGCCGGGTGGAGTATGGCGACAAACCGAGCGTAGAACGGAAGTAGATCTAGTCTCGTACGATTCACACCAAAGAGACCCCGGACCAGCTTCTTACGGTTGTGTTTATTATTCAGGGTTACCAGAAAATCGATGGCTGCGTTGTCGATCATCTCTCGATTCACGCAGTTCGGTAAGTTGTTTAGGAAAGCCTCCAGGACTATTTTATTACTAGCCGTAGTGGCCGCGGGGTCTTCGATTTCTTCGTCTACGGCTGGAGGATCCTCGGATTTACCTAAAAATGATTTTTTTAATGTGCTGATTAAATTAATTTGTCGGAAATGTAACATACTATCGTCGTCCAGATCTTCGACCGGTAATTCAGAATCCAGGACCTCTTCCGTAACGGTCTCCGTGGGTGGCGGTGTTTGTCCTTTATTTAAAAACGCCGTTGGAAGGAATACGGTTAATTCGGGGAGATCGCAGTAAAAACGCTGCGTTTCAACATCACACCAAATGTTTTCGATATTAGCGGACCCTTCTTCCAAATCCGGTCCAGAGCCGGTCACTATCATACTCTGAAATTGTACAAAAGAATATGATTTTGAAACGATACGAGCAAACAACGAATACCTCTTCATTTTTTGGAAAAGTTTGTGTTTTCAACACAGGCATATCTTCGTCCAAAATCTCGGAAAAACTTTGAGTATTAGTTAGCAATTTGTCGTAAGCAGACTGTAACTGTTCCAGTTTATCCTTTCTTTCTTGACTCAACTCGCCCTTCGTTTGCAATATCCTCATGTTTTGTTTTTCAAAATTTTGCATTTCTTGGTGGTCTTTCAATAAATGTTTACTAAGTGACAAGTAATAATCTTTCAACAAGCTTCGGACGTTTTGCTGTTTCTCTGGAGCTAAGAATATGCTTTTTGGAACCTCAATACTATATTTCACAGAAAGTTCACGCATTTTCCTTGGAACTAAACCTAAAATACAGTAAACAAACTTACAGGCCAACTCTAATTAGACATTCCTTTACCTGCATAATCGTCTCCGCAATGCTTACAGAAACTTAAAATAATAGCTATATTGAAATGATCTTCTTTGTCCATATTAATTAAAGTTGTTAAAACCGAACCCAGTAAGGATAAAGCATTTTTATTTGTAAATATACCAGCTTGCAATAATTCTGCATAGAACCTCAAATCCACTCGCAATTTACTAGAGTTTGGTATTTTATCTCCTACTTTTATTGCCAACGTCTTCTGCCAATTTTCAAATAAGTGTTGTGAAAATTCTGCGTATGTTTGGTGTAAGATACTACAAAGTTTTACAGCTGCCGGCACATCCGTCATTTTTAGTTTTGAGTCTACAATAGCAGCCGCTATTTCGGATATGTACTTTGACAAATTTAGAGTTGACATATCCTTCAGATAAGTGTCTACCTGTGAGGACGAAAAGTTTTTAATTTTTTTCACAAAAGCTGTATTCTTTTTTAAACTCGAGTCTAATTTACTGAAATAGGAGTCACTTGGACGGGTCGTTGGAGCGTTTTGGTTTGCAGTTCTCAGTTCTTTTTTAAAATTTAATCTCTCCTGAACTTCTCGTACATAAGTAGTAATATGACTTTTCTCGATTTCGTCCGAGTCACTTTCTTTAGCCTCTTCTTTTTCAGCATCTTGACTAAAAGATTCATTTACAGTCATTCTTTAATGTTTTTTAATATTGTACTCCACTTCGAATATTATTATTGCTGGCAAATTGACAGATAGAAGATTGAAGAATGGGACTGCTGACTGATTACGTCGCCGCGAGGTGGCGCTGTAACTGGGGGCTCGTTCCAAAATCTCTAGCTGATCTTAGGTTCGTTCAGTTTGGTTCCTAACAAAGAAACAAATAATGACATATGATTCCGCTGTGGAGTATTCTACGTTCCAGTGTAACCGGTAGTATCGCGAAAAGCTGCAACATCCGTTACACTACTACCAACCACATACTTGTATGTGCTACCAACCTATCGGTAACTGTTTCGGTATTCTACAAGTTTCTGAAACGGAACAATGATGTACTGATTTCTTATGAAAACCTCAAATACAGGAAAAATGGAAGCCCAAAAAATTACGTATTATAACGAGATATCTTTAATGATGTTTGGGTTTGGAGACAGTCATAAACCTAATCCTGATACTGTTCGATTGGTGGAGAGTATCGTTTTGAAACAGTTGAGGACAATAGTTCAAGAAGCTTTGAAATATTCCGATGGGAAAAACTTGAGGGGTGAAGAGTTAGTATTTTTAATGCGCCACAATAAGCACAAAATGATAAGGTTTGTTAAATATTTAATGAATAAACAAAACAAGTACTTGTTACAAAAAATGCAATTGAACATGTTGGAAGAAAATCCAGTGCAACTACCGAAAGGAGATTTAATGGAATTCATTGAACGGATAGATGAAACCGGTGAATTCACTGATTTATCAACATTCGATGAAATTGAGCATGAACGACAAGTACGAGCGGACAGAATATCTCAAGCACTCGATCAAAAGAAGTATCTAGAGTTCAGTAAAGCACGTTGCGCTTCGTTTAACAGTAGGGATACCATACATAGAAGTTTGGAAAAACTGAGAGCTTGGATCGATCCGAAAAAGGATATAAATTTTAACGCAGATGCGCTAGATGTGTTGGCGTATTATGCATATCAAACGGTTGCTGAAATTACGGATTATGCGCTTTTGGTTAGAATGGACAGTAAATGTGGTACAGACGCGCTTAAGCATTTATCAGGGTCATATTACACTGCGACAATGTTTAATGGTGAACACCGTTTTGGAGGCGCGAATCCAGATTACAGTAAAGTACACAGCAGCCAACCACCAATAAGTGTTAATGAAATAAAGGAAGTTATGAGGAGGGTACATACACCACAAGCAGGCAGATTAAATTTTGGGGGAAACGTTCCGGAGACACATTATTTATTTGCTTTGTAGTTACAGCAAGCGATAATAAATGATATTGTTGTATTCTGTAGTTTGTATATTGTTATTAGTCAAATTTCTTTTGCGGGTTAATCATTAATAACTTAAAACATGCTTTTGAAACTGAAATTTAAGTACCTACCCATAATGCTAAGGGTAGAAGTAGAAACCCTTTGTTAATAGTGTTGATCATAAAATGAAAGTACTTACTTTGTGCAAGCAAAGGCTTTGCTGCAAAGCTGTTATTAGGTATTTCTACATATTAAATATATTATAATTGACTAGATATATACCTACATACTTTTTTTCTGCTTTCCTTCAAATGTAATAGGTCAAGATTTTTATATAATTTTTCGTAGTAGGTGACATTTGAAGTTCTAGAATTTTGACGGTTTTTTACATATTTTTGACAGGACAATTTTTACTTGAAATTTTAAATCTATAAATTAAATAAAAAAATAGTCTTGATTTAAGATATAAAAAAATTGTGCTATTTATTTCTAGTAACATTCCAAAAATTAGAAGTTTTCTGGAGACAAGCAAACACTAATTGTATAGTTATCTACCTCCCGTTAATTTCTCTGTGGTTAGATGTCGCCACCGACAGACAATCGAAATTCTGCGCGCACTCGCTGCATTCACCAAAAAACTGACAGTTCTGCGCGTGCCGTTGTAGCGGCAAGTTGGGTTTCGAAGTGTTTGTTTCAAAATGGCGTTCAATGGAGATGGGCCCCACACCAAAAGACAGAGGACAGAAGCGGAATCTGTCAATAACAGAGTAAGTACATATTTTACAAAAAAATATTTAGAACGCAAATCTCCCAGCGCACTCGTTTGAAAACCTGCATTGATTCCTACGTGCCTTTGACTACCTAAACCTGAATCTATGTTTTTGTTTATACTGTCATATACGCGAAATTATTAATGAAAATATTACAGAAATTCCAAGCTCTAACAATTACAATGTCATATAGTGTTACTCCAATTTAATTGTTGAATTTGAAGGGCGGTGCGTTCGGTGATTGTTTATGTTTCAAGGTAACTAGAATAGACTTTCTCGAGTAAATATCACGCTGATTACGGAACGATAAATTTTCTTAGCGGACCTTTTAAAAACGAAACAGGTTTTTATTTAGAGTATGTTTTTAATTGGAGCAACAATTGGGAACAAAGTTGCGAACGTTCGAAAAGAGTAATTAAACAGTGTTATGGAAAAATTCTCCCGTAATATTGTTGAAACTAGTCCTAATAGGCGAGTGGTCGTATTAGATTCACTATCAGGGGACGATGACCCAGACAAGGTTAGCCAGAAGCAGTTTGTCAGGGTTCATACATTGTTTTTAGTATTATACATTCGTATTTAATTGAATTAACGTACAGGAGAAAGCTTATATTCTATTCAATATGTGCCCTACAGTGTATGATTTCAATTAATTCAAATAAATTCCCTTGGCAATAATCTGATTAGGTATCTTCTATAGAAAATAAATATTTTGAGTATTGTATAACAAAATTTGCATGTGCCCCGTCAATTACCATGTTTTAACGTGCCCCTTTTTTAAATGTTGGTCACTCCTGTTACATTTTAAGGGCCACTTACGGAAGATATGTCAGAAAATTATTCACGACTTTGGAATTTTAACTACGCCAAAATTGTAAATAAATAACATACGTTCGTCTTACGAACTGGGACTATTTTATTACGTTTCATGATGTCTGTTCCAGGGACATACTGGATTCAATGCCACGCCGGATGAACCGAGGCGAAAAAGACCAGACGATGCAAAACCCAATCATGTACTACTCTTCACTATAATCAACCCCATGTATCCCATTACAGTGGTAAGTCACGCGTGGTGTTTATTATTTTTCTTTGCCGATTTGAAATTTTGGATTTATTTTCGAATTATATGCATAAGAGATAACCAATCAGCGGCGTGTTTTATATAAATGATATGCGAGTTGAATTACGATGTCGGATTTGTTATGTCATCGATAATTTTAGTAATCCAGGTCGTTAAACCTACCGAGTGATAATTATTTCACTAATAATAGTAGTAAATCTAATATTTTATTAGGATAAATCTTAATTAATAACTATTTGTTTTACGCAAAAATTAAGTCCCTTATCTAATCTGTTGTTGTGATTCTAACAAGGTTAGCGATAATATTTATCTTTTTTATAGATTTTTTTTTCAACAAATTAAAAATGCAGGTTTATTTATATACCGCGGCAGTTGTTTACCTTGTTTTAGATGTACATTTAAAATCTAATGAATAGTGAAGTAGGTACCCTAAAAGTCGGCTATACAGGGTGTCCTAGAGATACAGGCGTTACGTGGTATTACATTTAGGTATCAAAATTTTGAAAAATCTTGCTGTGTTGAAGATCTCCCCTCACTATAGACGAAATTACCCCATCCCAATCGTATATGGTATTTTACGGAACGTAGATACAGTCGTGGTGCGCTTACATACCGGCTAATTAAAAGTGGTTGTACGCGTCATATGTTCGGCACCAATTTATCGATTCGGTTTCTTGGTCAATTCGATTGACCGACTTTTACGAAACTGGTCTTGATAAATTTGCCCTTTTAAACAAATACATTGTGTCGGCTTGAGAGAAATAGGTTGCGCATCAGTTTAAGAAGCAATTATTCAAACAAATTCAAAACGAAAGTAGCAAACGTGCCAAAATATACTTGCTTTTATTTTAATTTTAAATAAAGTAACCTACATGTATATTAGGGTCTTAAAATTGTCCAAACAGATCGATATAAATTTTAATTATTGACATTTTTTTCGTGGGGTAATATTTCTGGAGGTATTTGGAAGTTTCAGGTTAAAAAACACTCATTTTATTACATTTGGTTGAGATATAGCATATTTACTGGATGTTGTCGTTGTAATTCAATGCTGGTCTGGGGTTTTAGACCACAGGGTCGTAGTTTTCTACCGTATCATTAATTATTAATTAGTTCCATATTTAGGAAAAAAATAGGCTTTTAAAGTAAAATATTTGACAAAATACACACCGCAAAAAAATGAAAGGAGCAGATTTCCAATTTTTTTTGCGTTTTTGTCACGGTTTCGTATTAAGTACTCATCAAAATCGAAAAATAATATTTCGAAATTTTCGAAAAAAATTAAATTTGAAAAAAAAATAAATTTTCAATATTTTTAAATTTTTTAAATATAAATTTTCTTTAAATTTAAAAAGTTGAAAAATTTTTTTTTTCAAAATTTTGAATTTTTTTTTTCGATATTCGATGAATATTTAACACGAAAATAAATAACGCAAAAAAATTTGTTTCAATATAATCATTAATTGATGTTTTACGGAGCAATAAATTTTTTTATGAAACTGATGATTCAGGAACGATTCAGGAATCGATTTCAAAATTTACAGGCCCCATGGGCATGTATTGAGCTTAAAAAAAAACCTACAAACATTGGTACTTTTGGCAATATTTGCAAAGTAATCGTTGATTTTCCAAAACGGTAGAAAGTAATGTTTTTGTACCTTTTCCAATAAATGCCGAGTATAAATTTTTTTTCAAAAATCACTAAAAAAATTTGGAAATTTTTCTATTCCTTTAATTTCGATGTGCCTTGGCGTTTCCCGCAAAATACACTCATATTCTGGTTTTTTATTACAGTTTTTTTTTCGATTTTTTAAATTTATATGAAAGACCAGCTTTAAAATTTTGTAAATTTAGAAATAATCTTTTATCAGGTGTCGCAAAAATGTAAATACTAAAATTACCATTCACAGCAGTGCAAATAGTAGTTTAAGTAAATAAACAGAAAATATAATGTTTGATAAACGATGTGCAAACAAATTATTAAAGTAAATAACAGGAAAAATTTTAGTAGGTATATAAACGGCTCCAAGATAGCGTTTTGTTCACCGAGTTCACAAAATAAATACGGGCGATCCGACTACTTGAATTTTGTTTATTTTATCAATCTAAGAAAATAACTTATTATCTATTTCGAGGAGGACGCTTTTATCAGTCTGACGAATTAGAATGAAATATTGACATAAGGCTGTATCAGTTTATATAGAGCCCTGATTTTTTTTTAATCTATAAGTGGTACCTTTCAGGGTATAGATATATCGTATTTCAGCATCTAAAAGTGTAGAAATCCGGTTTATGAAATGATCATTAGCGTGGTTTCAAATTCTTACAATCATTATTCACTTGTCTTATTTATTATTAATTGCGATTGATTTAGCTTCGCTTACATCCGAGTGTATTGTAGATTCTATATTATGTTCTAAGGAAGCACTGGAGATATACGTATTCTGTGGTATAATTTAAATCAATGTTGACTGAGATATCCAAACAAGCTATTCATTACAGGCTTTAATAGTTGAAGAGAATAGGTATAACTTTTGTTCGAGGATCTGTCAATTTGTATACTGGTTCTTCATCTGTTTAAATTAAATTATACGCGTAGATATTTTCATTATTATTATCAATGAAAAATTCCTTATATTCAACTAGTTATTAAGTTTCATTCAGAGCGAGTTACACGAACAAAATTTGGACAGGGCATAGCTAATATAATGCGAAACATCGCCTTAATGTTAAAAATGTTGTCACCGCCGTTCTTGGGGGTGAAAATTCGAAATATTTGTAATTATTCAATTTTCGTGGCTAAAAACGTACATAGGTATTGTATTTTCGAAACCGAGTGAGTTTCGCGAAACTAAATGTGTACAGGACATAGCTAGTACCATGCGAAAGAAACATCGCCATAATTTTAAAATTGTTGTCACCGCCGTTCTTGGGGGTGAAAATTCGAAAAATTTAGAATTACTCAATTTTCGTGGTTGAAAACACACATAGATATTGAATTTTCGCAACCCTGAGAAATGCACTAACCAAATTTGGACAGGACATAGCTTAAAAATGTTGTCACCGCTGTTACTGGTGGTGAAAATTCCAAATATTTTTTGTATAAGTTAGTTTGAGATATATAAGTGACTGTACCCCGGCCAAGGGTGAAAAAAAAATTAAGTACATTTTCAAGATATCACAAAAGAGCTAAGAAAAAGTTGTAAGACATAAAATTTTACATAAAAATGATCTATTGACTGTTTCTTTTACTATTAAAATTAACAAAGTTAGAAACTGGAAGGGATGACATGAGAAATTTTAAAAAATCATAGCAAGCGGAAAGATGAATAAATTTAGAGTTTTTTGTCGATCTACTCTAAATAATATATACTTTCTATTCAGACAAATAAATATAAAAGTTATAATAATTTTAATTCTTTAATTGTCTGGGATTAAGTTGTATGTGAATTATATGCGACTAGTTTTGGGGCGATATACCTGCGTCATTTGTAATTGTCCCGGCTTACCGTGGGCCACGTAAAGTGTATTTTAGCTTCGTGTACATATATAATCTTGACCGCAACAGCAAGATATATACACTCGGAGCGTTCAAGTTATTTATTTTGCACGGTGCTGTACTTACGTGCGATTAGGAAATCGTGCATCAGATTATCTCGATGACTTTGTTTTTAATCCCAGATTAATACAAAGCATTGTTTAATGAGCCTATGAAAATCGTATTAATTTTGAGAATAATCGAGAATTAAATTGCTTTGCATTGATAAATCCAGATAAAATATCCGATTACACTGATTTATCCCTTTTACAAGTAATGTTACCAAAGTTCAACGTGATCAAGAAATGATTATGGCTGTTGACTGACGCTAATATTCTCGAATATGCGACTTTCGATGACGCTAATAGCTGATACAAAGAGTTTCTATATATAGAAAACAATTTTTTCGATTCTAGGGTTTTTCGAGAAACGCGGAGAAAATTTACATGACAGCAAAACCAAAAAGAAACGTAGATGGTTTTTCTTGTTCTTGTCTTACTAAAAGTGTATCCGTCAAAATTTTCTGATTATTTACTTTTGGGTGCAATGCATATTAATTTTCATACTTTACTTCGTCAGTTATTCCAACCGTTTGTTATTCATAGGCAACCAATTAACGAAGAAAAATTATTTTCACACATCACACGATGGAAATCTATTAATTCTCGAGGCTCTCGCGGAAGCAGTGTTTACGTAGTGCAAATTACATCGTCACGAGCGGGCAGTGTCGAGTTATTTTTGCGTGGTGTTTTGTTTGTGATAGAAATTGGTTTCTTTTCGGTTGGGAAACGGTTTCCACGTTTATTTATCCGAAGAAATTCTTCCATTTATCTTGCAAATCGATCTGGGATATGTTTGTTTTCGTTGATCTTTCTGCGGTTCTTTTTCATTAACGTTATTCAGTTTTAAAAGTAAAACCAACAAACTCGCCGAAACGGTAGGTGATACTAAAGGCACTTGTACAGTCGTGGACAAAAATAAGGTTCGAACCTAATGCTAATGTCGTTAAAATCCTGTTTTATAGAGGTTGGGAACTTTTTATTGTCCACAGCTGTACATATTTATTTAGTTATTTACATTGCTTTTGCTGCGAGAAGTAAATTATTACTTTCCATCGATAAACTTCCTAAAAAAAATCGGCTCAGTTTTATACTCCTCCAAAAATTGACTGATTCATAGCCGTTAGCCTAAGGTCGCAACTCATGTTTTTTTTATAGATGGGAAAAAAGTGATAAATTAGCTTCCCTAAGGTCAGAGTTTAAAAGGGACGTGTGTATATTATAACTTTTCCGCGGGGCTGTCCGCTTTTTGCTTCGCTGTTTCTCCCGAGATGCTACTGAGGCATTACAGTTAGATCAAGTTGGATGTTCTATTCCCGATTGTCGTTCTATTTCGAATTTAATTTATTACAAATAAATGTTCAAGAATGGAAAGCACCCTGTATTAGTCTGATTGTGTGAATGCTAAAATATCGCAGCTAATCGATTTAGTTTAATATTTTCGTTTTATTGTCAATATTTATCCGTTCAGATTTAGATAATTCCGATTATTCTCTGATTTATTTTAACAATAAATCGGTAAATCTGGGTGCAGAATCAATTTTCTGATAAGAATTTTACCTCCTCATATAGTTAGAATTTGATTTAAAAATGCAGGTTTATATATAATAATTTTTTTAAATAAAACAGAGGTGTATGTATATTATTACGCTAGAGGTTAGAGAATGAAAATTACCTACTCTATATCATAATTCACATGTAATTCTAAAAAAAAACGCATAATACTTGAGTTATTTTTTCAGATAAGCCCGTGCTTGAGATTTCAGTGTGAAATATAGATACTGACATTTCCTATGTTACTACTGTTTAATTAAAACAAAGACAGACACATGTGATCAATTAAAGAAATATATTATTCTTTGACATTATCTATCTATATTGCAAATAAATGTGTCTTTATCTGAATTAAAAATCAAAAGTTGACGGACGTTCCCAATTTAAAATTGCAAAAACACTCGAAATGTTTAATCTGCGCTTTTTATATGTTTTTAATTTCGTTTAAATTCACTAAAAATCAGTTTCCTATTATCTTTGAGAAAATCTTTTCGAGAAATAAATCTCTCTAGGTCAAGTCTGTTACTCGGTTCGCTTTTGTCAGAAAGTGTGGATCCTACAATTTCGAATCGTTCAACTTTCTTCTGGTATCTGTTTGAGATTATGAAATTTGAATGTAATCACATTAAAATAGAAGCAGCGCGTAACTGTGCCATCGCTATAAAATTAGCTTTTTATGTCTAAAAATAATCAAAACACGTTTCGAAATTGTTTCGTTTTTAATTTTGTACTGCCCGTTGACAAATTGCTACAAATATTTCTCAAATTTGGCCTTGGATCTGTGTACATATTCTAAGTATCATGAAATTTGTCTAATGATTAGAAATTTTTTGGCAAGCAGCGCAATGTGCTTAATTTTTTAATGCGGCATCATTCCCTGACGGCCAGTCACAATAAGCGACATGTTTTGGAAGCATTAATTGGTTTTAAAGTGACCCATATACCTTAAACTGTGTCACATAATTTTCTTGTAGCCTGTGTGCGAAGTTTATAAATGATAAAAATTCTGATACTTTGAATGATTACAAGCTACGTTTGTTTGAAAGGGCCATATTATTTCCTTTATGTGCATGTCTCGGATCTGAAGCTTGGCATCGATCAATTTATTCGATACGTATCTAGCGGCAACCTAGTGCCTGCCCTGTGCCGTTGAACAATCCAGGGTTTTTGCTTAATTTATTTGGTCTTGCTTCAAGAAGTATCGCATGTAAAAAAATACTGTTTATGCGCACACGTGATTTTCCTTGGTTTAATAGCTACAGGGCAGTGGGGAAACCTACGTCTTGAATGTCATTATGTAAATGGGTGTGCTGTCATGTATGAAGTATTATATTATCCTTATACTGTTTACATACTACTGTATGTTGCCGGAAGCAACTCAAGAGATAATAGAATTCAACCCTGTTACACAGTCAGTGTTAATGCCTCTGTTAAGTATCAGGATTCCGGGGACAGCTGTAATTTATTTGTGTCCTTGTGCGAAACGTGTACGAGGAACTAATTTAAATACTCTTTTAACCGTAGTGCTTAAAAGTTCATTTTCGTCAAAGTAAATAGTTTAAATATATGCGGCTGCACGTCGCTTACGAGTATATGAAATATATTTTAGATGCATTAAGCAGAGAATAATTTATGCGTGTTTCGAAAATATTTATTGATCCTTGCGCTATAAATACAGTAGCGTATCAATAATTTAGTGTTTTCCATCGCAATAAATTATTAAAAGCACGCATGAATGTTTTCCTTCTAACTGTTGTCTATCAAACTTTTCTTCGGCTAATTTTAGATCGGGTTGATGAATAATTCACAAATTTTCGACTGACGCATAACGAGCCACACACTCTCATTAGTCAAATATACAATTGACGTTCCGAAACAGGTATCGGCAGAATTGGGGCAAACTATTTTATTTATAGGTAATTCAAGAAGTCGAGTCGGACGTAAATACACTAATGGAAAAAATTAAGGGGTCAAAAAAAAAATCTAAATTTTCGGCGATTTTTCAAATGGCTGTATCTTTGACAAAAATGGTCGTATTGGAGTGAAAAAGAAAGCAATTTGAAGCTTGAAGTTTCTAATTTTGGGATCTTGCAAAAAAAATTTCAAGTAATACATACCTATCGCGCAATCTTAATGAAAATTTTCGAAATTTTTTTCGATCTTATTTTTGGTGGTATTTTTAATTTACACATGGAAAATTAGTCGCAAGTCATTCATTGTGTATTGCGTGATATGGGTTTTAAAAAATATACTTGCGGTGTTTGACAGCCCCTCTAGTGGATACTTATTTTATTTTATGGCACGAAATTTGTTTCTTTTACAAGATAATGAATTTTCTCGGGCAATATTTCTGTCACTGAAATATATTTTCGGAATACAATTTACCTTTGATAGTATTGTATCACGAATGCGATGGCCTAAAGTGAAAGGTTTTACTTTGCATGACAGAGAAAATATATACGGGAAAAAAAATTTAATCGACGCGCAGAAGTGGTGCAGTCTTATCTGATATTTATTTTTTTTTTGTCAAGCTGTTGATATGGATGTTCAATGTCTGTAACGCTTATATTTTATGATAATTATAAATTAAGATAAAATGGGGTTTTTAGAACGTAGCGAAGTTATTACGGTTATTAATTATTTTTTGGTATGAGGTGTGTCATAAATTGAAAGTAAGGTTACATTTGTTAAGATAAAAAGACGCGTAATTAGAGGATCTAATACTAGAAGTAATTTATGGTTACAAAGAGATTTTTAACAGACTACCGACTGTCACTGGTTTGATTTCAAATATATTTATACTTACAGGAAGTGAAGTTTAAGTTTTTGTCCTTGTAGGTAGACATTATATTCTAGGAACGGCGTTTTTAAAATCATTACTTTCCTGGAAATATTGCCAGTACAAATTTCGATTAAAAATGACGAAATGAATGCTACTTGATCAAAAGTTATCTTTTACCTTTTATTTGAATTAGATATTAGAATTTTTTCTCGTAGTTTAATATATTTCGGTGTCTATTATTAGATTCAAAATTCAATAATACAAAAATTCTAGCAAAACAAGTTGTGATAATAAGTAGTTATTTATTATAAAAGGTGATTTTAATTGCAAATAATTCTCCTACATACCAATGCCTGCGTTAAATGTCATAAATGCGGTTGATGGATTCATATCCAAACGAAATACATTGTTTGCCAACTACTTCATTTCAGGATTATGGCTGCAATCGATTGGTTTAATATTTGGTAGGAACAAATACGCAAATGCGTTTAGTCTTCCAAGAGTCACTATCAATTATCAATATTGCTGTTTACGTTATTACATTGTGTTTGTGTTTTCAATAACGTCAAATGATTTGGGTATCAATATGTTATTTTTGTAATTAAACTGAATCTGTTCAAATATAACCGAAACGGGTGCAAAACTAGGACAATACAGTAAAGATAAACGCTAAAAATGTGAATTGGAATTGAACAATTAATGCCAATTTGCCAAACTTTGCCAACTTTTTAAATAATAAAACATTTTTTCCTCGTATGAAATCCTGCGTTTTGTTTGGGGCACCCTGTATTAATAAATGCATAGCTCTTTGCAAATATAATACATTTGTGGGTACGCATGTTCGCAAGTGACCCATTTTTAAGGATTACCTGAAGAGCGCCGCGGGACGCACCAACGTTCTAGGAAGGGTCTATGGCGGATTGGCGCCGGCGACCAGATGCGTAATCATATACCTACGACCAACTGCACACCACACAGGGACTCTCCAACGCTCTCTCAACGGTAATAATAAAGTATTTTATTGAAAACTAAGTTGTATAGAAAAATACGTTTTGACGGGGTGAGTGTTCGCTGGAGAGTCCCTGTGTGTGGAGTTGGTCGTAGGTATATGAGTACGCATCTGGTCGCCGGCGCCACCCCGCCGTAGACCCTTCCTGGAACTTGTGTACCCACACATTGGCTAATCTAAATACATATGTTAATATTTTTCTCTTTTGTTCCAGGATGTTTTACACACAATATGCCAATCCAGTGGACAAGTACTTAGAATAGTTATCTTTAAGAAAAATGGCGTCCAAGCTATGGTGGAATATCCTTTAATACGTTCATTTTTTTTTTAATAGTTAGTCTTAGAATGATTTGAAAACAAATCGGTTTGGATTTTTTTTATTAGTAAACTTATTCGTTACATCTGATGAAATAATTTTAAAAACATTTTGCGTACCTTCTCTGTGCTTTAATTTCAGTTCGAGGAGCACACCTAGAGGCTGGAAACTATTTTGGCATTTGATAAAAATAAAAGATGTAAAGGTTTCTAAAAATATAGCTTGTCTAGTATTTGAATTTATGGCCGCATTTTTAACAGCGAATGTATTTCTGGATAAATACTTAAAATATTAAATGAATATGTTTAATATTTTTGCCATACATTTTATACCACTTAAAACAACGGTATTAGACAGATGTTTCTCCAAAAAAGTTGAACTGGAAATTAAAATTCAACAAATTACTGTCATCATCTCACAACTCATATTTTTATTCCTCTTTTTATAGCCCGCCAGAGAGGTACTGTTGATGCACGTGATGGAATTACTGCGGGTCAGCGGTTTTTAACCTTTTTCGATTTGCCTGCGTTAGGTTTCCCGAACCGTTTCCATTAGGTGATATTAAAATCGTGCGGGTTATTCTCTTGGCACAAGTGTCCTTACAGTCGTTCAACTGTTTCTACATATGGTTTATTTAGTTTTCTGATGTTTTTTCTTGGCTTTTCAATAGTCTGCAGGTGTTTCTGTTGCGGGGTCTTCGTAATAAATGCGAACAGCGTATTTTAAATATGCTTTTAACTAGAGAATCGTGAACTGTGTAGTGTTAAAAACTAATATTTGGTTTACTTTTAAAATTAAAGATTTAGGTAAAACTGATTGAAATAACTTTAATATTTTCGACCTGAATACAACCACTGCTTATTAGTCAATGCCCGCTCCTATGCTACCCATCGATGAACTCATACTTTGTTTTATAAACATTTGTGATTTACAATCACCGATCGAGTAGCAAGGAACCGCGCATGCAAATTAAATAAACTATATCAGATATTTAGCGATTCTCTCTTCATGGTTTTCACAGTAGTTAATCCTTAGATGTGCTCCGAGTCGATCAAAGTTTACATTTCGGTGGAATTCGCAATCGGCACGATAATTAGCCTGCAACGTGGGTGGATTAAATACAGTATTTATACAAGTTTGAAAGGCTTTCTGTGTATAATACTATTTTGAATGAAATGCAGTCTATTTTCAGAGCACACGCTAAGTAGGTCAGGAGTACTTTTTATGTATTGGGTTCTGTTCCGCCTCTGCCAGGAATCATTCGGGATTATGTCTCGTACTTATGGAGATTTTTTGGCACACTTAAATATTACAGCAAATTTCATCTATTACCTTTTGAAACAAACTTCGTAAATGAAAACCCAAGTGATTTCCCCAGCAAAGTCATGTCAGTCAAGTTTTTTTAAACAGTAAAAACTGCAAAAAATGACATTTTTTTATAATATCCCGAAAAATAATGATGGAATCGTCTTACTCTCAATAGGACTTTTGTAGAGAATAAAAAACCTATAAAATGTTTTTTTTGCGACTCGATCGGTTCATTTTTTACAGAGAAAATCCGGAAAAACTTCTGAAATAGACCTTTTTTCAAAAATTCATATTGAACGTAAGCGGTGTATTTCAAAACTGCATTTTTACCTTTAAGATTACACAGGTACAGTTTATTTTTTATTCGAAGTGGTTTGTTTCTATTCCTATTTATAGTCGGACATTGACTGGTTATCCTGTCAATGTGATGCGTTCTATTTTAATCGACAACATCGTTACATTTCAAGTACTTGTTCTTCCTTTTCTCTTTGTTAGTTTTTTTCCAGTGACTCATTCCAATGCAAAGATACGTTTTCTTGAACTTAATTTCTTCAGGAACGGATCCAATTTTATATACAGTGATGTGGGCATAACGTCTCGCAATAAATGTTTTTGAAAACACCTCGCTGACATCTGGGTTTCCTAACATTGTGACTAAACTTTGTATATAAAGTACTTGTGCGAAAATAAATGCTGCTTCGGGTCGTGACAAGCGTGATCTAACGCTTGTAGGACCTGTTCCGAGATATGTTACTGTTATACTCCAGTCGAATTAGTTTGAACGTGAAAAAATTATTAGTAGACATTAAGTGGCACATTTACGTTTTTTTTTTCACTTTCTTTTTACTGTCAACGGAAATTTAGACGGCCTATCGGAAAATTAGTCAATTTATGTTGTGGGCAATTAAATTACCTACAATTTAAGGTGTCTGAAGTCATATTTCGCCAATTTGTTTACTGTATAATAAAGGTTGAACAAACTGTCCCAAGGTCTAGCAAAAGCCGCTCGGCAATTCGCTCTTTTTGCATTAAATAGAGCTTATTTTATAATGTTAACTTGGAAATAAGGAGGCGTAGGTGATATCTATTTTTTTTAATTACCGTAAAAATAAGCTGTAAACACTTCAATATTCTACATACCTTTCCCCAGCATAAAGTGCAATACAATGTGTACTAATAATTTTTTCAAGTCTTCAGGTCTTATGATCTAATTGGACTCGAGTATTACAAGTGTAGTTGAAAGTAAAGGATATAAAAATAAACAATGCACACAATCTGCTGTCGTATTTCTTGCTTCATGTGCCAGAACTGTTATTTTTAGCTGATATTTTTTCCACTTATTTTTTTTGTTCCGAATTGTTTCACTGTATCTTTAATTTTAAAAATGTTTTTTAAATTCACAGTATTAACTCTTAACGAAACGTGCAAATGATTTGGTTATTCCTCAATTTTTGCTTGAAAACACTCATAAATATATATCACCCTTTGCTTCTTCCTCTGACTTTATGACATCATCCCATTTGTTTGGTAAAAATATACGTATACACAAAATTTAAATCTGTTTAAAAGCATTTGTGCAAATTTTCACCTTGTTAAAGTGCAGAGGTATAGCAAAATGTCAATCTTTAGCCGGTATCACCATATATATTAGGATATTTTTATTGTCCGATGATTTTCCTTAACTATTAACACATTTGACAGTGTGGAATCGGCCGTCAGAGCGAAAGACACATTAAATGGAGCCGACATATACTCAGGCTGTTGTACGTTGAAGATCGACTTTGCCAAGGTAAGTTTCGTACGACTTACAATCTTTTTAATTTTTTTTCCTGTTATGAATTGAATTATCCCTATATAGAATGTAACTGTGAATGCGGCTCATGTTTATACGGAGGCTATGTGCCTCCGTTGCACTTCGTAAGCCTTCCGAACAGGATCGGGTTCTGCTTAAATTTAAACTATTCACGGGTATGTCAGACATGTTTAAATCATTTTTATCAACCTCAACACCTTGTATGTTGGGTCTAAAATAATTCGGAAATTATGACGCGAACTGAAATTCGCAAATTATTGCCTATTTTTCCATGTTTCGGTATAGGATCTTGCGTACGATGAACCTAATTTTATCAGCTACGTAACTGAAAGTTATGTCAAGGCTTAGTTAATATTGAATTAGAAGTTAATTAATATGCCATTTAGTTAAATCTTAAGAGCGCGCCCACAGCTGTATTGCATTATCGTATGTAATGTTTAGTTGGAAGCTCTTCAGCTTCACTTATGCGTTTCAAAATTAGTACAGGAGGGATACCGAAGTTTTAAACACAAAACCAGAATTATTGTTATTTACCATCATCTCTTCTAAAGACGGATTTATTTGCAGAATTATTTTTTCCGCCTTTCGTTTGACAAATATTCTTGATTTATCCGCTCCAGTAACTGAAGCGGATACAATTGACAAACAAAAGGTTCTATGTATTTTATAATATACGCGGTCCTTGTGTTTTTAATTGACCGTCTGAAGCGGTCTAGAAATCGCTGGTTTAATTTTAACCGAGATTCTTTGATCTCGAGTTAAAGTGATGTAGGTGTGTATCAGCATGTCGAAATTATAAAAAAACGTTTTCGAAATAATGCACGAAGACGTCCTTGGCAGGCAAACAAAATTAGACTAGCAGGGATTCGATTGGACATATTGCGTATATTTTCCAGTACCTAATTATTCGCTTTATATATCTGTAACTTTCCAAATACGTTATAATTTATACTAACTGCTTTGATAATACCATAGGAGGTCGTGGCGTTTATTGATTGTTTAATTATTAAATAAAAACGTTCTATTTGTGTCAATTTAAATTATATACAGCGCAAATTAGAGAGAACTGTTCGAATTTTCTCCATTTGCTCCGACATAAACATATTTTTTACGCGTTCTTTAACATGTGCTACAGCGGTGTTTTAAATGGTGGTAATTAATATTGTTAAATGCTCCTGCCGTTTATCGAGGTTGTTAAACTGGTTCACATACACTCGGTTTTTATAAAGCAAAATAAAAATCCAAAGAGATTCAGTCCGCTGATATCAGGCCATCCAGTTAGTTAATAAGGAAAAATATATGTCAAGTTTATTGTTAAGAAAAAGTGATTTTTATGTGAAAGAATCCCCTAAGGGGATAAATTTTAATGAGAGGTATTTGTCATCTGTTTGGTTCTAAAAGGATTCGATATCTTTCTAGGCGAGCGGTTCACCCCTAAAAGAAAAAGGCATGAACCGACTAAATTTTTATAACAAAAACCTACAGCATGAAACGTTTTTTATTTTATAACGTGTATTTTTTTGATAATTTACATATATTTTTGATATTTTTCGGCGTGATCAGTCAATTGTTATAAACAAAAAGGTTGTAAAAAAAAAATTGGCGAAATCGACAAACTTTCGGAATTTTTTTCTCAAAAACTACTGAACATAGTTTAATTCTAAAAAAGCATAATAATCGGCAGATTTTCTACTTTAAGATATATTTTTTTTATGGGTCAATCATTTTATTGAAGGTCTAAAGCGAGCAAAAAAAGTCTTTTAAAGAAAATTATGATAACATTTTAAATTTAAATTTTCTTTTTACAATATCTTGGATTAGATTATATTTACAATAAACATTATTATCATTTTTTTAATCGATATATGTTAACAGTACAAATGTTCAAATGATTTGTTTGGTTTTATAGCCGGAGTAAGGTTTTTGCATGTAATTAGTAAAATTTAAATATTCGATTTTTGGTTTTATAAATGGCTAAAATTGGCTTGAAAGTTATACTAAAACTAAACTGAATAAGCTTTTTTAAATCCTAAAATTAACCTAATAATAAAAATTGACCTAGCGGTCTCGAAAAATAAAAAAATTATTGGATGACAAACAGTTACAATTTTTCGTAGAACATTTTCCACTACATGAACAAAAATATGTTGTATCATGATTTTCTCTAAAAGACTGTTCTTTTTACTCGCTTTAGACCTTCAATAAAATAATTGACCTACCAAAAAAATATATCTTAAAGTAGAAGATCTGCCGATTATTATGCTTTTTTTAGAATTAAACTCTGTTCAGTAGTTTTTGAGAAAAAAATTTCTAAAATTTGTCGATTTCGTCACTTTTTTCACATTAAATTATAAATATCTCGGAAACGAAGCATTTTTTGAATTTTTGTCAAAGAACAAAAAGTGTTTAATTTGGTCCATTTTATAATAAAATAAGCCGGAGAATATATTTTTTTTACAACATTTTTGTTTATAACAATTGACTGACCACGCCAAAAAATATAAAAAAAATATGTAAATTATCAGAAAAATGCACTTTATAAAATAAAAAAGTTTCATGCTGTAGGTTTTTGTTTTAAAAATTTAGTCGGTTACCTACATTTAGAAACATCTTTTTAGGGGTGAACCGCTCGCCTATTCAGCTTCATAGAAAAATATAGACCCTGTCATACGCCTTCTTGATATCGCTACCCAAACGGAATTGCATTTTCTGTTTCAAACAGAATTGATGGTCTGTATAAGTCACTTGTTTATTCTTAGTCGTACATACGATTCTCTTGATTGTGTGTGGAAATACTGGTGTGTATTTTTTTTTGAGATATCCCATAGTGTATATAGTATAATTTATTTTTTAACAGTAAAACATGTGTTTTAAACAAAACGAAATTGAAATTATACGTATGCAGCTATTTTTAGTAAACCACAAAAAGGGAGTCGAAAGCGCTGCTTCCAGATTCCGCCTTTCTATTATCATTTTCAGTTCTTTGCTCCTGGGCTGCTTGTGAATTTATTGGGGTATGACGTGGCTCCGTTTATATTGGCAAAGCTTCGGAATTCACTGAATAATAAATGCCGCGGAATTATTTGTTTTAATAGCTCTAAATAGTGTTCTTGTCGTAGGTACGTGTTTCGGTGTATTCAATAAAATATGACATTAAAAAGTAAATTGCAGAAAATTTTCTGTTCGAATATTGCGGAAACTATTACCTAGGTCACATTAGAGCGTTATCTTTCCCATTATAACTGTGTGTACATACAATTTGCAAGTCCACACAAATTTTCCGCGTTTAGCAGGGAATTGCGTTGTGCAATTCATTAGTCTTGCATTATCGGGACGAAAATTGGTTTAATACATTTGCGCAAATTACAATTCCGTTCTGTTGCTCTTTCAGTAAATCTTTTTTACTATTTTAATCGCTTGTCGTTCGTTTCATTTGACAATTTGGCGACGTAATTTTTAACTATTACCTTGATTAGCCCTTCTAAAAGGATACGAAGTAGTACAATCACGAATTAATGATTTTAATTCACTTACCTTGATCCGAAATACTTAATTTTATTCAAAGTCAGTGGGTTATGGTTTTGACATTAACACAAAAAAGTTGATCTTAAATAATATTTATTGTATAAGTGTTTTAAGATTATTTTTAAATGTATAGGTACGTATTATTACGTCAATGATTAATTAATATTCTCAACGGACCGGCTTCGTGGAAAATGTTATACATAAATGCAATTCCTGAGGAATATGACTTTAATTAAGCTGTTGAGGTAGACCGACAACCCACATCCAGTAGCGTAATAGGAATATAGAGAGGTTAACGATTCCCTTGTTTATCTGTAACGCTCGTTACTGTATGCTAATAGGAGTCACTTCCTTTTACGCTTGTGCGATGATGGATATACCTGATTTGATGTTGCCCCTATAAGCTAGCCCGTGAATGCGTAGCAACCGTCCATGTCTGCATTTTTGGAGCCTTAAGGGGGCGATTTAGTATGTATATTTTTACCATGTAACAGAGCTTCAGATGAGGACACAAATCATCGAAGAAACTAACATAATTGAATATTATTATATATCAATGTATTCGCAATGGTTCCCGCTAGTGAGTGAAATAAATTTCAATGCTCATGAGAACAGAAGAATAATTTAAATAAATGCCAAAGTACCTCAATTTTAACCATACTGTTAGTCTGCCAATATATTGGATTTACGACGGAACTAGGTCAGGCACAATAACCAAACTACTTCACTCACTAGAACGGACACTTAGGATCATTTGTATTTAATTTTCAGATTAATATTTATTAACAATTCTATAATTTGTGTCCTCAAGTAAGATGACAACATTTTACACACGACTCCATGTTATATTATATTATATTATATATTTAAACCAGAATTTTAGCGGTTTCTATCTTCTACAAGAATTTCTAAATAAAATTAGTTTGTGTACTCTGTCACAGGTGTCGCTACCCTTGAAAATGAAAGCGAAAACACAGAGTTGGTTTATTGTAAATTGTATTGGCCGAGAAATAGTGAAATTTCTGGCGTTTTTAGGTACTGAAATCTTTAAAAGTAAAACGTGTAGAACAAAAGTAGGGGTAAGCACAAAAATAAAATCCTTGATGTTTTGTTTATTCATGGTTACCGTTTAAATTTACCCAAATAAAATAATAACTAAAAAAAAGCGTTTGCAAAACATGCGTTTGCTATTATCCTAACCCCACATTTTAACAATTATTTTCACGTACTTATAAAAAGTAAACAATTTTATATGTAGGACTAAGCAAGTAAATGTTATAAGAATATTTACATGTGGAATTATATATAAAAAAGATAGTATTTTCGTAGATTTCAGTACCTAAAACCTTAATGATTTGATCGTTTTTTGCACCTGTTTATTCGTTTTACTGCGGCGTCTTTGAAAATACTCAGGTGGCATGACATAACATTCCTATTATTTGATAAGCTTT